CTGTTCTGAAATTTTTTTATATATATAATATATAACGTTTAACTATAAATTTGTTTTTACCACAGAAACTGTGGCACTAAGGTCAAGAATTAAAAATTTTTACTCTCATTGATAGTTAAAGCGTTTTTTTCCCCAGCACTACTACACAACAAAAACCTGTCGGCCCACCGAGGAAACACAGTCGCAGAACAAGGAACCCAATTGTGCTCCTCTATTCTGCAATCGTGTGTATTTACTATAAACTATTATTGGGCTCAACACTACAGACGGTTCCAGACTGGTAGACAGACGACAGTTCGCTCTCAAATTCGGGGATACATTGCAGGATTTCATCATGTTCCAGCCCGATATGTCACCTCTACAAAACGCGCTAACATTCTGTTCCTGGGTTAAATCGCTGTCCTCTAATAGCCATCCTACCTGGTTATCTTATGCTACCAGTTCTCACCAACACGAAATACTCATCACCGATAATGGTATTTACAACTACTTTCTGGGTACCAACTCAGACTTGAGCAGCGAGATAAACCCCTCTAAAGGAACATGGAACCACCACTGTACTTCCTGGAGTACATCGTCCAACACTAGAAAGGTATACTTTAACGGGAAACTTGTTGGGCAGGGTGCCACGACATCCAGAACTTATGGATTGGATGGATTCCTTTTCTTCGGTAATGACAATCATTATGACGGCAGTAGCAGAGACGCAAATGAAATATTCGGAGGGGAGCTTTTTAAGGTTAAATTTTTCGCAAAGGAGCTAACAGGGGAGGAGGTACTGGGGATGAAAGAGGCAGGACTCTGCTCGGACGTGGAGGAGAGTTACGGGAGAGTCCGGTATCTCCGATGGGAGGATCTGCTCCTGGAGCAGAGAAACGGAAACATTACCGAGGTGGAACCAGGATGTCCTGCTCGGACCTGCCCCACAGAGAAGGAGACCAGGAACGAGACAGAGGAACCCACACCAGGATCCCGGGAAGGAAGGAATGATGCTGCTGAGGAGAGCGAGACGGAATGTGAGTGTGAGGAGAAGAAGGAGATCACTCAGTGGGACATCCTGTACTCCGAGGAGATTTTCAACCGGACACTGACTGTGGACTTTCCGGAGAAAATTAGATCTTACTGGGACATCCTTGGTATGTGAACTTTATAAGTTACATTTTGGTACATTATGTAAATTATTCGAGATTATGTTATTTTTCAATATAAGGCTGATGATAAAATTAATTGTTTCGTTGCAAGATTGAAGATAATTTAACTTATTAATTAACTAATTAATATCTCTGACAGGTAACTTTGTAGGAGTTACAATTACTGAGAGTGTGATAACTCATTTCAAGATATTCCAATCCTGCAGAGACTGAGAACTAACTTACCGGAGATGAAGGAGAATTCTCCCAACAAGGACTATCTGCTTTATAGTGACTGAGGATTTAAACTTCGGACAATCCACTTAATTGCGATAATTTAATATTCAATTCTTTTTGATTCGAAATGTTTTTGCATATTTGTTTTTACTTTTAAAAATGGTTAGTCAGTAATCTGAAATAATAATACATAATAATGATCTAATCTAAATTTCGATTAACTTTTGTCATTTCCTTTATTGGGGGGGGGGGGGGGGGGGGCTGCTCAGGAATTAAGTTCACATATTACCTACGTAATCAATTTGTTGGCAATTTTTACCTCTCCCCCTCCGTAATTAACCGTAATTTAAATTAACTGTAATCAAGACCCAACCCCCCTTCCCCGTGGCAGACAATAAGGCCTTCTGAGATCCGGGATTCCACGGTGATCGGATCACGTCGACGGTCGACCAATAAGTGACAATTAATTTGTTATGTGGTCAATGGATGGAATTTTAATGACTTAGAAATGGGCTAGATCTAGGGTAGAGTTCACATGGCAAATCTGTTCATCAAACTCTATAATTTATTTTTTGTTGTTACTTGTTGAGTCAAAACCAAAATGGGCTGCTGTTTTGACTTTTGAATTCTGCTTGTTCAAAGCAGAATCGGCTAACACTTTGTCTGTTCGCCATTATGTTAGTCGCGAGCAGAATTAGTTATGAATACTATGGGTTAATCCGATAATAATAATACTTGGTTCTGAGGAATACATAATATACTGCTGACCATGATCACAGCTATCGGTATCAACTATCACTCCGATTTTTGGCATTTCCGTCTAGGAGGTCGTAGAAACTATTCCGATACACCAAAATGTGTCTAATAGCCATATTTATAATATACAACTTGTGAAGCAATATATATACAGGGTGGGCCAAAAGTCAGTACCCATACGTTGGGTCTTATACCTCCGCCGTGTTTTATATTTGAGAGTTGTTGCTTTGCAGATGTCATACTGTACCTACTTGTTCGACGATTCCGTCGCCAAAATTTGAAAATTAGAATATTTTAGACCACGCCCATTCAATATTAAACCACCTATATTGTTCTTTCTGAACATGCTGGACACCTAATTTTTTCAGAGACGGTAGATTATTAAATGTTGCATCTGATCTGAAAAAATTATGTTAAACGGATTAGGAATGACGGAATTATCAAGCATTTTGTGTATCTCGTTAGTAACATTGATTGGGTGATTATGTGACACCGTGATAAGACACCTTAATTGGGCAGCGTCGACGATTCCCATAATGTTTAACGGGTGGTTAACGGGGTCACCTTATCACGTGATTAGGTAAGGCGGTAAGCCAATCGCCTGATCACACGTAATGAATAAACTAGTTATGCGTCGTATCTCGGTCATCTGAGAAGCTGCAACTCTAATTTTTTCAGGACAAACGTAACTCGAATGACCAAACACAATTCATTAAAATTTGGTTCGATCCGACTATCCAAACTATCAAATAAATGCGAAAATGAACCTTCATTTGAAAAAAATGAACACGAATATTTTTCGAGTTGACAAATTACTCGAACCAGTGGTGGTACTAAGTCATACCAGAAATAATTATTTCAATTGGGCACTCAGTGACTAAGCTATAAAGGCCAACGTATGGGTACTGACTTTTGGCCCACCCTGTACCTTAAAATGCTTATTTTCGGAAATGTGGCTGAAAACAAATTTTTGTCAAGCGAACAATAAAAATACTCACAAATGGGCTATTGGACTGTTAACTAGAGACCTAAAGACCCATGAGCAACATAGAATTTTGTCACAAGATGCAAGATGACTCACTTTTTGTCCAGAAACACCTAAAAAATGGCCTACCGACAGTTTTCCACACCTTAACAAGCCATTAACAGGTTCTCAATCAGTGACGTGATTTGATTCGCCATGTCAGATTTTCAAAACGACAGTTGCGCCCAAGTTCACGTTAAGTTCCACTCCCAAAGTCGCACTTAAATATCTAAGTGCGAACTTAAATCATGCAACTTAGGTAAAAATTTGTACTTAAGACCCAGTTCGTGGATGACGAACGAAGAGGTGTACTTAAATTCGTACTTAAGTCATTTTTAATACACCATAAACTGTTCGTGATAGACACCCACTACCCAGGATGCTACGTCTAAGCTCTGGCACAAAGCCAGAGCTTTCTTTCCAAACCCGCCCTTCCCCTCGGCTGCTGACGTCATAATATGTGAACGCTCCCATACCCACAACTCAATTGTTCAATATTCCAGCTCAAACTTTTGAAGCTATCAGTATAACTATAAGTGTAGACTGTCCCTCATCACGTCGAGACCAATGGAGTTGATATAATTTGTTGGTGCACAGTAATATTAATGGTGGTATGTCCACAAACTCCGCCCTAGTGACTCTATAGTAGTACTAATTATAGTACCCTATTATAATAGTACTAATACTATAATCTATGACTAGGTGGTATTAGTAAATGATGCGATGAGGGGAAGTCTCGACTTGCTCCGAAAAACAAAGACATGAAAGTTATTAAGAGTTTACGGGTACAAAACCAACAAAGATAAAACTTTGAAAGAGAGCCAAGTTTGACCTAGAATAGGAAACAATTGCACTGCCACACTTGAAATTTGTATCTGATGAGGGCGGTAGTAAACTGACCACAGCTATACTTAATAAACCATATCATTTCCATTTTATTACTAAACTTTGAACTTATTTTCGATTTTTCATGTTTTGAGTACACCTTGACTTTGAGAGTTATTAGGCACATTTTTGTGTATCGGAATAGTCTCTACGACATTCCTGGGCTGAAATAGAAAAATTCGAGTGACCGTGAAACCCTGAAAAAGGGTGTGATCAAAAATGCAATAATGGCCACAAGTTTTAAGCATGATCTAAAGAGATGATAACCGTCGAGAAATCGCTTTTAACACGAAAATCTAAGGAAATGGCCTTATAGAACGGTTGGGATAGCCGATCTGATATTAGTGATCTCTATATATGATGATTTGTATTGTTTATGTAGGGCGTAAATAAAATATTTAATTTCATTTCATACTTTCCAAATAGTTATTAATAAATATGATGAAAGTCCACCTGAAGGTAAACTTAGGAGTTGTTCAACTATTCCTTCTGACCGGCCCCACAATTGGGCTCAACACTACAGACGGTTCCAGACGGGTAGACAGACGACAGTTCGCTCTCAAGTTCGGGGATACATTGGAGGATTCCATCATGTTCCAGCCCGATATGTCACCTCTGCAAAACGCCCTAACAGTCTGTTCCTAGGTTAAATCGCTGTCCTCTAATAGCCATCCTACCTGGCTATCTTATGCTACCAGTTCTAATGACCACGAAATACTCATCTCGGAAAATGGTAATTACAACTACTTTCTGGACTCCAACTCAGGCTTGAGCAGCGAGATAAACCCCTCTAAAGGTACATGGAACCACCACTGTACTTCCTGGAGTACATCGTCCAACAGTAGAAAGGTATACTTTAACGGGGAACTTGTTGGGCAGGGTGTCACCACGTCCAGAACTTTTGGATTGGATGGATTCCTTTTCTTCGGTAATGAAAATCATTATGACGGCGGTAGCAGATCCGCAGGTGAAATATTTGGAGGGGAGCTTTTTAAGCTTAACTTTTTCGCAAAGGAGCTAACAGGGGAGGAGGTACTGGGGATGAAAGAGGCAGGACTCTGCTCGGACGTGGAGGAGAGTTACGGGAGAGTCCGGTATCTCCGATGGGAGGATCTGCTCCTGGAGCAGCGAAACGGGAACATTACGGAGGTGGAACCAGGATGTCCTGCTCGGACCTGTCCCACAGAGACGGAGGAGGAGGAGACCAGGAACGAGACAGAGGAACCCACACCAGGATCCCGGGAAGGAAGGAATGATGCTGCTGAGGAGAACGAGACGGAATGTGAGTGTGAGGAGAAGAAGGAGATCACTCAGTGGGACATCCTGTACTCCGAGGAGATTTTCAACCGGACACTGACTGTGGACCTTCTGGAAAAAATTAGATCTTACTGGGACATCCTTGGTATGTGAGCTTTATAAGTTACATTTTGCTACATTATGTAGATTATTCGAGATTATGTTATTTTTCAATATAAAGCTGATGATAAAATTAATTGTTTCATTGCAAGATTGAAGATAATTTAACTAATTAATTAACTAATCAATATCTCTGACAGGTAACTTTGTAGGAGTAACAATTACTGAGAGTGTGATAACTCATTTCAAGATATTCCAATCCTGCAGTGACTGAGAACTTACTTACCGGAGATGAAGGAGAATTCTCCCAACAAGGACAATCTGCTTTATAGTGACTGAGGATTTAAACTTCGGACAATCCACTTAATTGAGATAATTTAATATTCAATTCTTTTTAATTCGAAATGTTTTTGCATCTTTGTTTTTACTTTTTAAAATGGTTAGTCAGTTATCTGAAACTTAGATGAGCTATTCTTTTTTAAGCGAAAGCTATTATTACAAAATTTGGTAACTTGATATTTTGTAACTTGTTATTTTACCTTATCTAAATTTTGAATAACTTTGTCGTTTATTTTTACTACATACCCAATTAAACATATTATTAAGTTCAAAACGTGAGACCCACTTGGTGCAAATTTTAGGAATTAATAAAATTTTAGGAATAAATAAAAAACAAATACGATAAAATACTGTTTTTCACACCATGATTGAGCGACTAAGTTGGCTCCTCGTAAGTTACTAAACTGAAAAGGACATGGTTTCCCTTTAGTTCCAAGGCAAATATTTCACCCGATTTATTCGGTTGTGATTCAGAGATTCGGTCCGAGACAGGGAGTGAGGGAGCTGAATATCTAAATTATGAACACTTAAAATAAGTAAGATTGTCCATAGTCTTGTGCTCGATTGGCACCATCAAATCTTACCTCTAGAAACCCCAGAACTCATCAAGCCTAGCCTGAATTCAAAACTAGTTGACCAGCTACGTACAGTTTCCTGGACAACTGGAACCTTTTGGGCCATGCACAAGCCAATAGCATGAATGGTCCTGCAGTGGGGTCTTCTTGTCCTTGGATCTGTGTTTTGATCCGTATTTTCATAAAACCTACTCACCTATTAAATGTTAATCGACACCACTGGTCCTAGTTAGATTTAGCCATGGCACGACTACTCAAACGTAGCAGTTAAATTGGTGTGACATACTATTATATTCTTATAATAATATCATATGAATTGATTGCACTGCTAATAAATAAAATACTTTGTTTTACTAAAATACTTTGTTTTACCTAGTTGCGCAAGGATAATTGTGAACCTCAGGTGGAGATTTCACATAACTTTAAAACGTGCTCGAGATATGGTGATGGGGAAGTGCAGAGTTGTAAATACTACTGCTACTGTGATCATTTGCATTACAGTGACGTTATTGATTTTATTATGGCGAGGTGAAATCTTAATGAAATAAGATCGCGAGTAAAAAACTGTATTTTCTCAATAATAGAAATGATGCTCAACAAACTATGTATTCAAATAAATAACTTTTCTTGCTGAACAGTAAATTCCATATTTCACGAAGCAAAGAGTTGACCGTGATATAAGGCTTCGTCTGATATTAGTACCCAAAAGCGAAAGTGCAGCAGTTGCAATGTGTCAACGCTAAGTGCTTTGACTCCTTGAACAGGACTGTTGAAATCTTTCAGATAGTCGAATATTACAGGAACAATAGGTTTAACGTTATGTTCATAGTAACTGACCAAAACAACAGTCAGAGTTCAGATAACTGGTCTCACCAGAAATCTTACGTTAACATGTTTACAAACCCATACTCATAAATCTAGGTTATCACAACATTTTTATCCTACCAACATTCTTAACCCAGCCCCACCTAAGGTAACCTTTATAAAGTGCCCACTTTGTAACCTTTTCATTATTCTTTGCGACGTTATTTCTCTAAATTTTACTTGAGCTAATAACACCAATTGTTGTACTTGGAATTTTCAGAATTACTTTTACAGTTCCATTTTTGAACGATTCAGAAATTTTATAATTTTTTTCATAGAAGTCCCAGTTTTCCCTAAATTTGAACTTGTCTTTTGATGATGTTTCTTTCGAATCATTGGTAATACATGTAAATTGTAATGGATAGCCGATCTGATATTAGTGATCTCTATCTTTGATGATTTTATTGTTTATGTAGGGTGTAAATACAGTTTTTAATTTCATTTCATACTTTCCAAATAGTTATTGATAAATATGATGAGAGTCCACCAGAAGGTAAACTTAGGAGTTGTTCTACTATTTATTCTGACCGGCCCCACTATTGGGTTCAACACTACAGACGGTTCCAGACTGGTAGACAGACGACAGTTCGCTCTCAAGTTCGGGGATACATTGGAGGATTTCATCATGTTCCAGCCCGATATGTCACCTCTGCAAAACGCCCTAACAGTCTGTTCCTGGGTTAAATCGCTGTCCTCTAATAGCCATCCTACCTGGCTATCTTATGCTACCAGTTCTAATGACCACGAAATACTCATCTCGGAAAATGGTAATTACAACTACTTTCTGGACTCCAACTTAGGCTTGAGCAGCGAGATAAACCCCTCTAAAGGTACATGGAACCACCACTGTACTTCCTGGAGTACATCGTCCAACAGTAGAAAGGTATACTTTAACGGGGAACTTGTTGGGCAGGGTGTCACCACGTCCAGAACTTTTGGATTGGATGGATTCCTTTTCTTCGGTAATGAAAATCATTATGACGGCGGTAGCAGATCCGCAGGTGAAATATTTGGAGGGGAGCTTTTTAAGCTTAACTTTTTCGCAAAGGAGCTAACAGGGGAGGAGGTACTGGGGATGAAAGAGGCAGGACTCTGCTCGGACGTGGAGGAGAGTTACGGGAGAGTCCGGTATCTCCGATGGGAGGATCTGCTTCTGGAGCAGAGAAACGGGAACATTACGGAGGTGGAACCAGGATGTCCTGCTCGGACCTGTCCCACAGAGACGGAGGAGGAGGAGACCAGGAACGAGACAGAGGAACCCACACCAGGATCCCGGGAAGGAAGGAATGATGCTGCTGAGAAGAACGAGACAGAATGTGAGTGTGAGGAGAAGAAGGAGATCACTCAGTGGGACATCCTGTACTCCGAGGAGATTTTCAACCGGACACTGACTGTGGACCTTCTGGAAAAAATTAGATCTTACTGGGACATCCTTGGTATGTGAGCTTTATAAGTTACATTTTGCTACATTATGTAGATTATTCGAGATTATGTTATTTTTCAATATAAGGCTGATGATAAAATTAATTGTTTCATTGCAAGATTGAAGATAATTTAACTAATTAATTAACTAATCAATATCTCTGACAGGTAACTTTGTAGGAGTAACAATTACTGAGAGTGTGATAACTCATTTCAAGATATTCCAATTCTGCAGTGACTGAGAACTTACTTACCGGAGATGAAGGAGAATTCTCCCAACAAGGACAATCTGCTTTATAGTGACTGAGGATTTAAACTTCGGACAATCCACTTAATTGAGATAATTTAATATTCAATTCTTTTTGATTCGAAATGTTTTTGCATCTTTGTTTTTACTTTTTAAAATGGTTAGTCAGTTATCTGAAACTTAGATGAGCTATTCTTTTTTAAGCGAAAGCTATTATTACAAAATTTGGTAACTTGATATTTTGTAACTTGTTATTTTACCTTATCTAAATTTTGAATAACTTTGTCGTTTATTTTTACTACATACCCAATTAAACATATTATTAAGTTCAAAACGTGAGACCCACTTGGTGCAAATTTTAGGAATTAATAAAATTTTAGGAATAAATAAAAAACAAATACGATAAAATACTGTTTTTCACACCATGATTGAGCGACTAAGTTGGCTCCTCGTAAGTTACTAAACTGAAAAGGACTTGGTATCCCTTTAGTTCCAAGGCAAATATTTCACCCGATTTATTCGGTTGTGATTCAGAGATTCGGTCCGAGACAGGGAGTGAGGGAGCTGAATATCTAAATTATGAACACTTAAAATAAGTAAGATTGTCCATAGTCTTGTGCTCGATTGGCACCATCAAATCTTACCTCTAGAAACCCCAGAACTCATCAAGCCTAGCCTGAATTCAAAACTAGTTGACCAGCTACGTACAGTTTCCTGGACAACTGGAACCTTTCGGGCCATGCACAAGCCAATAGCATGAATGGTCCTGCAGTGGGGTCTTCTTGTCCTTGGATCTGTGTTTTGATCCGTATTTTCATAAAATTTTCCATTTGTATCACTTAGACTCACCTATTAAATGTTAATCGACACCACTGGTCCTAGTTAGATTTAGCCATGGCACGACTACTCAAACGTAGCAGTTAAATTGGTGTGACATACTATTATATTCTTATAATAATATCATATGAATTGATTGCACTGCTAATAAATAAAATACTTTGTTTTACTAAAATACTTTGTTTTACCTAGTTGCGCAAGGATAATTGTGAACCTCAGGTGGAGATTTCACATAACTTTAAAACGTGCTCGAGATATGGTGATGGGGAAGTGCAGAGTTGTAAATACTACTGCTACTGTGATCATTTGCATTACAGTGACGTTATTGATTTTATTATGGCGAGGTGAAATCTTAATGAAATAAGATCGCGAGTAAAAAACTGTATTTTCTCAATAATAGAAATGATGCTCAACAAACTATGTATTCAAATAAATAACTTTTCTTGCTGAACAGTAAATTCCATATTTCACGAAGCAAAGAGTTGACCGTGATATAAGGCTTCGTCTGATATTAGTACCCAAAAGCGAAAGTGCAGCAGTTGCAATGTGTCAACGCTAAGTGCTTTGACTCCTTGAACAGGACTGTTGAAATCTTTCAGATAGTCGAATATTACAGGAACAATAGGTTTAACGTTATGTTCATAGTAACTGACCAAAACAACAGTCAGAGTTCAGATAACTGGTCTCACCAGAAATCTTACGTTAACATGTTTACAAACCCATACTCATAAATCTAGGTTATCACAACATTTTTATCCTACCAACATTCTTAACCCAGCCCCACCTAAGGTAACCTTTATAAAGTGCCCACTTTGTAACCTTTTCATTATTCTTTGCGACGTTATTTCTCTAAATTTTACTTGAGCTAATAACACCAATTGTTGTACTTGGAATTTTCAGAATTACTTTTACAGTTCCATTTTTGAACGATTCAGAAATTTTATAATTTTTTTCATAGAAGTCCCAGTTTTCCCTAAATTTGAACTTGTCTTTTGATGATGTTACTTTCGAATCATTGGTAATACATGTAAATTGTAATGGATAGCCGATCTGGTATTAGTGATCTCTATCTTTGATGATTTTATTGTTTATGTAGGGTGTAAATACAGTTTTTAATTTCATTTCATACTTTCCAAATAGTTATTGATAAATATGATGAGAGTCCACCAGAAGGTAAACTTAGGAGTTGTTCTACTATTTATTCTGACCGGCCCCACTATTGGGTTCAACACTACAGACGGTTCCAGACTGGTAGACAGACGGCAGTTCGCTCTCAAGTTCGGGGATACATTGGAGGATTTCATCATGTTCCAGCCCGATATGTCACCTCTACAAAACGCGCTAACAGTCTGTTCCTGGGTTAAATCGCTGTCCTCTAATATCCGTCCTACCTGGCTATCTTATGCTACCAGTTCTCACCAACACGAAATATGGATCTCGGATAATGGTGATAGGAACTACTTTCTGGACTCCAGCTTAGACTTGAGCAGCGAGATAAACCCCTCTAAAGGAACATGGTACCACTACTGTACTTCCTGGAGTACATCGTCCAACACTAGAAAGGTATACTTTAACGGGGAACTTGTTGGACAGGGTGCCACGCCGTCCAGAACTTTTGGATTGGATGGATTCCTTTTCTTCGGTAATGAAAATCATTATGACGGCGGTAGCAGATCCGCAAGTGAAATATTTGGAGGGGAGCTTTTTAAGGTTAACTTTTTCGCAAAGGAGCTAACAGGGGAGGAGGTACTGGAGATGAAAGAGGCAGGACTCTGCTCGGACGTGGAGGAGAGTTACGGGAGAGTCCGGTATCTCCGATGGGAGGATCTGCTCCTGGAGCAGAGAAACGGGAACATTACGGAGGTGGAACCAGGATGTCCTGCTCGGACCTGTCCCACAGAGAAGGAGGAGACAGAGGAACCCACACCAGGATCCCGGGAAGGAAGGAATGATGCTGCTGAGAAGAACAGGACTGAATGTGAGTGCGAGGAGAAGAAGGAGATAACTCAGTGGGACATCCTGTACTCCGAGGATATTTTCAACCGGACACTGCCTGTGGACCTTCTGGAGAAAATTAGATCTTACTGGGACATCCTTGGTATGTGAACTTTATAAGTTACATTTTGGCACATTACGTAGATTATTCGAGATTATGTTATTTTTCAATATAAGGCTGATGATGAAATTAATTGTTTCATTGCAAGATTGAAGATAATTTAACTTATTAATTAACTAATCAATATCTCTGACAGGTAACTTTGTAGGAGTAACAATTACTGAGAGTGTGATAACTCATTTCAAGATATTCCAATCCTGCAGTGACTGAGAACTAACTTACCGGAGATGAAGGAGAATTCTCCCAACAAGGACAATCTGCTTTATAGTGACTGAGGATTTAAACTTTGGACAATCCACTTAATTAATTATCCACTTAATTAATTATTCCTCTCTTTAAAAAAATTAAAAAATTTAAAAATTTAAAAAATGAAAAAAAATCCACTTAATTGAGATACTTTAATATTCAATCCTTCTTGATTGGAAATGTTTTTGCATCTTTGTTTTTACTTTATAAAATGGTTAGTCAGTTATCTGAAACTTAGATTAACTATTCATCTTTAAGCGAAAGCTTTTATTAAAAATGCGGTAACTTGATATTTTGTTACTTGCTATTTTACCTTTATGACCTTATCTAAATTTTGATTAACTTTGTCGTTTCTTTTTGCTACATACCCAACCGAACATACTATTTAGTTCAAAACGTGAGACCCACTCGGTGCAAATTGTAGGAACAATATTATAAATAAAAAATAAAAAATAAAAAAGATAAAGTACTGTTTTCCACACCATGATTGAGCGACTGTCGTAAAGGGTCGTTCACATATTATGTATCCCTTTAGTTACAATACAAATATTTCACCCGATTTATTCGGTTGTGATTCAGAGATCGGGGAGACGGGGAGCTGAATATCTAAATTATGAACACTTAAAATAAGTAAAATCTTGCGCTCAATTATGACTCCTTTTATATCGTCACATGACACTCATATGGTTTTATTCCAGATAAATTTCCGTGAGTTTGTTGAAAACGGGGGCGAGTTTGAGGGACCTGTACAGTTGATGCTTGATGGAGAGGAGAGGGGACTACTGGAAATCGCACTCAGATACGAGCCTTATTGTAACGAAAACAAAAACGAATGCAGTAGGAAAGTAAGTTTCAATCAGTAGCTGTTTCTGTACTCTACTGTTTCTGTACTCTACTGTTTCTGTACTCTACTGTTTCTGTACTCTACTGTTTCTTACTCTACTGTTTCTGTACTCTACTGTTTCTGTACTCTACTGTTTCTGTACTCTACTGTTTCTGTACTCTACTGTTTCTGTACTCTACTGTTTCTGTACTCTACTGTTTCTGTACTCTGCTGTTTCTGTACTCTACTGTTTCTGTACTCTACTGTTTCTGTACTGTTCCTGTGTACATCAAGCAGAAGTGGAAGTTAAAGGGTAATCTGTACCCTTTACCACATCAAAACTTATCCCTTCTTATTTTTGGGCACTTTAGGATACCCAGATTATCCCTTATTTTTGGGCACTTTAGGATACCCAGATTATCCCTTCTTATTTTTGGGCACTTTAGAATACCCAGATGTTTCTCTTATCTCCCAAATAATAGCAACACCCCCACCCCCCCCCCCCCCCCCAGGTACCAGCGTGCTACTTTCCGATGAGAGAGAACTGTCGTGTTACTCTGTTCCAGGACGCTGACCACACTACTCAACCTGAACATGAGCCCATCACCACTGGTTAGTAGGCATTGTAAACACTGCTCAACCTGAACACGAGCCCATCACCACTGGTTAGTAGGCATTGTAAACACTGCTCAACCTGAACACGAGCCCATCACCACTGGTTAGTAGGCATTGTAAACACTGCTCAACCTGAACATGAGCCCATCACCACTGGTTAGTAGGCATTGTAAACACTGCTCAACCTGAACATGAACCCATCACCACTGGTTAGTAGGCATTGTAAACACTGCTCAACCTGAACATGAGCCCATGACCACTGGTTAGTAGGCATTGTAAACACTGCTCAACCTGAACATGAGCCCATCACCACTGGTTAGTAGGCATTGTAAACACTGCTCAACCTGAACATGAGCCCATGACCACTGGTTAGTAGGCATTGTAAACACTGCTCAACCTGAACATGAGCCCATCACCACTGGTTAGTAGGCATTGTAAACACCGCTCAACCTGAACATGAGCCCATCACCACTGGTTAGTAGGCATTGTAAACACTGCTCAACCTGAACTTGAGCCCATGACCACTGGTTAGTAGGCATTGTAAACAATGCTTAACCTGAACATGAGCCCATGACCACTGGTTAGTAGGCATTGTAAACACTGCTCAACCTGAACATGAGCCCTTCACCACTGGTTAGTAGGCATTGTAAACACTGCTCAACCTGAACATGAGCCCATGACCACTGGTTAGTAGGCATTGTAAACACTGCTCAACCTGAACATAAGCCCATCACCACTGGTTAGTAGGCATTGTAAACACCACTCAACCTGAACATGAGCCCATCATCACTGGTTAGTAGGCATTGTAAACACTGCTCAACCTGAACATGAGCCCATCACCACTGGTTAGTAGGCATTGTAAACACTGCTCAACCTGAACATGAGCCCATGACCATTGGTTAGTAGGCATTGTAAACACTGCTCAACCTGAACATGAGCCCATGACCACTGGTTAGTAGGCATTGTAAACACTGCTCAACCTGAACATGAGCCCATCACCACTGGTTAGTAGTATAGGCATTGTAATTTGTTATTGGTTATTTATTTGTAATTTGTTATTGGTAATTTATTTGTAATTTGTTATTTATCTTAGTAGGGGAGAATTGTTTTGAAGAGCTGTTGAAGATATGCTCTCCGTGGATATTATATGTTTATTTCATTACAAAATATATCATTCATCGTGTGTTATAGTGTTACTAAATGCTGCACTTTTCGAGATCAAGTAACATTAGAACAATATTGCACGCACTGAAATGTACCTGGCATATTAACATAACAAGTTGACATCATTTTTCGTCAACACTCAATATGTGAATAAAACAGAGCATATTTTCTACGATAGAGTATTCTGGAATTGGCCGAATATGAAATAGCAATAAAGCATAGCAGACTAAGTACATCTAATCATATTTGTGACATTGTGTACATTATATTGTGTACATTATAATGTGTACATTATATTGTGTACATTATATTGTGTACATTATATTGTGTACATTATATTGTGTACATTATATTGTGTACATTATATTGTGTACATTATATTGTGTACATTATATTGTGTACATTATATTGTGTACATTATATTGTGTACATTATATCGTGTACATTATATTGTGTATATTATATCGTGTACATTATATCGTGTACATTATAATGTGTACATTATATTGTGTACATTATATTGTGTACATTATATTGTGTACATTATATTGTGTACATTATATTGTGTACATTATATTGTTTACATCAGGTGTACAGTGTTTGGGCGTTATTCCTATGCGCTATATCTTCTAGTAAGTAGTACCACCTGTACCTTGGTATTCACGAATATTCAGTTAACGAATTATACGTACATGACCAAACTTTGGAAATGATAGCACATTCAAGTTCTATTCCCCTTAATACCGCAGTTTAAATTTAGTCGTGTGATAATTAGGAATTTAAAACAAAACGCATCGGTCAGAGGTCAATCTCATATTGATAAGGTTTCCTGTATTACAATACTTAATAATACCTACACCCCTGACTCATATCACGAGGCTCGTGTAACAGCAACCAAACAAACTCGCCTGAAATCTGATTCCCGGCTTTCCAAATCCGGATAATAGCCGTGTGGTCCCCACTCTATCCGGATAATAGCCGTGTGGTCCCCACTAAATCCGGATAATAGCCGTGTGGTCCCCACTCCGTTAAGTGTCCATTTTAATCTTACTTTACTCAAAAGATACTGTATATTTTAGACATGGATTCATCGTATGGAGTAAACTTCTTTCTTTCTTTATCTTTAAAAAATGGTTGAGTACTTCAGACGTACTTGTTAGCCTGGATTTAGCTAAAATGACTGAATTATAGCCGGACAACCCCTAAAAATCCTTATCACAACACTTACCTAATACCTATAACTGAAACAGTTACTCCCTGAATCCTTAATAAACACCATACTGACCCGGACCTACGATAACCTGATAAACTCCCAGAGTCTAACACTAAACTATTAGACTTACTGAACTCCCTGGAGAGGCATCATGTAGCCGGTGGGCCCGACATGATACGACATATCTCGACACGTCGAGGTTTGTCGGGGTTTGTTAGGGTTTGTCGGGGTGTGTCGGGGTTTGTCGGGGTTTGTCGGGGTTTGTCAGGGTTTGTCGGAATTCGTTAATAATGGATGAAAAGTGATTAGAAGTTGCCTAAAGAAGTTTGATCAATGGGGTTGTGTTTTTTTTTAATTTTTTTATTTATTTTTTAAAAATTTTATTTTTTTAAACTTTTAATTTTTTTAAATTTTATTTTTAAATTTTAATTTTAAATCCCATGGAGGCCTCATGTAGCCGGTGGGCCTCATGTAGCCGGTGGGCCCGACATGATGCGACATATCTCGACACGTCGGGGTTTGTCGGGGTCTGTCGGGATATGTCGGGGTTTGTCGGGATATGTCGGGGTTTGACGGGGTTTGTCGTGCCTGGAGGCTACATGATGCCTCTGGAGGGTTGTCACATGTATCTACTACACCCCACACACGTGTAATTATGTAACACACGTGTAATTATGTAACACACGTGTAATTATGTAACATGTGTGTGGAGTAGTTATGTAACACACGTGTAGTTATGTAACATGGGAAATTGGTAGATCACCGACCGGCTATAAGCCGGTTATAAGCCGGCTATAAACCGGCTTATAGCCGGCTACAATTTTTATAGCCGGCTATAAGCCGGCTTATAGCCGGTTAGTAGCCGCTTACATTTGTTGTTGAGCGACGGCTATTAGCCGGTTATAAGCCGGCTATTAGCCGTTTTTGGTATCGGCTATAAGAAATTCAGTGAAAACGGCTATTAGCCGGTTATAAGCCGGCTATTAGCCGTTTAGGTATCGAAAGTGGTTATAAGCCGGCTATACGGCTTATAGCCGTAGTGGTTATAAGCCTTGCTGTACGGCAAGTTAAACAAGGATCTGAAACTACTAGGTTCCGTACAGACTCAACTCTGCACCCGTGTCAATATGTTCATTATATGCAAGCCTCTTGATTTATAATCACCGAGTCTAGTAATTGTTTAAGAGAGTTCTCTGGCAGTTACGAAACTCGAGAGACTGTGGGATACTGAAGGGAAAGGAAGCAGTTCTAACGAGCTCTTCTCAAACACAAGGATATAACTTGTGAACTCGGCTAGTATATATGAAACATTTGTCATGGAGTTGTAGAGGGAGTTATGTGCCTCGCCGGGCTAAAGTAGTGGATGACCTTGCTGTACGGCAAGTTAAACAAGGATCTGAAACTACTAGGTTCCGTACAGACTCACCTCTGCACCCGTGTCAATATGTTCATTATATGCAAGCCTCTTGATTTATAAGCCGGTTATAAGATATTAACTCAACTTCATCGTACTGAACGATAGTCAGGAGCCGGCTATAAGATATTAACTTAACTTCATCGTACTGAACTGAGTTAATATCTTATAACCGGCTTATAGCCGGCTTATAACCACTTTCGATACCTAAACAGCTAATAGCCGGCTTATAACCGGCTAATAGCCGTTCGCGTTTTCACTGAATTTCTTATAGCCGGCTCCTGACTATCGTTCAGTACGATGTAGTTGAGTTAATATCTTATAACCGGCTTATAGCCGGCTTATAGCCGGCTTATAACCACTTTTAATACCAAAAACGGCTAATAGCAGGCTTATAACCGGCTAATAGCCGTCGCTCAACAACAAATGTAAGCGGCTACTAACCGGCTATAAGCCGGCTTATAGCCGGCTATAAAAATTGTAGCCGGCTATAAGCCGACTTATAGCCGGTTATTAGCCGGCTTATAGCCGGTCGGTGATCTACCAACTGGCCTGTAACATGTGTGTGGGGTAGTTATGTAACATGTACACTGTACAGTGGTTCCCACTGGTAATTGTTTGTTGTTTGTTTTTTATAGAACCTGTCCCCAATCTCGTATTGGAAAATGACTAAACTCAATTTTGAGTGTGAATACGGGTGGTACCTGCAATTAGTGTAAAACTGCAGTTACAATAACTGTGCTAGTGTATTTTTAGTATTTACGATCGATATCAGATCTCGATCCCTACATACTTCCAAAATTTAAATCTCCAACTTTCTGCACACTGTACTGGAATGTTTGAAAAACAGTGATATAGAAATAAAATCAACGATTTAATTTTAGGAAAGTAAAATTAATTCCCTAGTTTCTTCAGTCAGCTTTAAAGTTGGAAAATCAAAGTACGTAACGTCGATCCCAAACCGATTGCAGAGTCCTCCTGATTCCTCAGTCTTTGAACGTGGCTTTTGTTCTTGTTCAGTTCTGTCCATATTTCCTCGTATTATGTTCAAAGTTTTGAAGTGTCATGTTGTCCTCAAATTATTTGTTTGTTCTCATAGATTAGTCCACAAAATAATTTCATAAATTCACCTATTTACAGACAGCCTAGCTTTAATAGATTAACAAAGGAATGACAATGGAATGACAGCATACTAACAGAAACACTTTGGTGATAAAAAACATTTAGGATATACGAAAGACACTTTCTTTTTTTTAAATATTCATTATCAGGCCATGAAAGTCATTCATTCGACGGAGGCGGAAAACAAAAGGCATTATCTGCTCGGTGCGTACTTTACAGCTAAAAAAGATGAGCTTTCATAGCTTTAAATAATAAAGGATTTTGGTAACCGCATCTCGTTATAAATTGGTACTGCAACGAATTTAGTGTTTAACTCGGTGCAATGAATTTAGGCCGAGAGTTATGATTGATGATAGATAATGTTATACGTACCAAGATAAGGGAATATCACATTCTATTTACAATATGACCATTTTCAATCTCCCCCTTATAAAGTTTATAATTTATATTCCCTAGTTATAAAGTTTATATGTTGACAATTTATATATTAACCATAATTATATTTACATCATGTAAGATCAACACTCCTTATTTACTTCAACTGCTGTGTTTTATTTGTGTACACCACAACACCATCATTATAGTTGCCACATGATGTACTACAGAAAACACTAAACACTAACGTTTATCAGCTAAATGTATAATGTGTAATGTTGATACAATAACAGTACGTGACATGTGATCGGTTTACAAGTAGTTACTTTAACCGCTGTGTAATGTATAACAGGAAGGTGCTCTCATGCGTTAATTTGTGTTTACATATGCATAATGTATTGTGTAATGTAAATATAATGTATTGTGTAATGTGTAGTGTAAATATAATGTATTGTGTAGTGTAAATATAATGTATTGTGTAGTGTAAATATAATGTATTGTGTAGTGTAAATATAATGTATTGTGTAGTGTAAATATAATGTATTGTGTAGTGTAAATATAATGTATTGTGTAGTGTAAATATAATGTATTGTGCAGTGTAAATATAATGTATTGTGTAGTGTGTAGTGTAAATATAATGTATTGTGTAATGTGTAGTGTAAATATAATGTATTGTGTAGTGTAAATATAATGTATTGTGTAGTGTAAATATAATGTATTGTGTAGTGTAAATATAATGTATTATGTAGTGTAAATATAATGTATTGTGTAGTGTAAATATAATGTATTGTGTAGTGTAAATATAATGTATTGTGTAGTGTAAATATAATGTATTGTGCAGTGTAAATATAATGTATTGTGTAGTGTGTAGTGTAAATATAATGTATTGTGTAATGTGTAGTGTAAATATAATGTATTGTGTAGTGTAAATATAATGTATTGTGTAGTGTAAATATAATGTATTGTGTAGTGTAAATATAATGTATTGTGTAATGTGTAGTGTAAATATAATGTATTGTGTAATGTGTAGTGTAAATATAATGTATTGTGTAGTGTAAATATAATGTATTGTGCAGTGTAAATATAATGTATTGTGCAGTGTAAATATAATGTATTGTGTAGTGTAAATATAATGTATTGTGTAGTGTAAATATAATGTATTGTGTAGTGTAAATATAATGTATTGTGTAATGTGTAGTGTAAATATAATGTATTGTGTAATGTGTAGTGTAAATATAATGTATTGTGTAGTGTAAATATAATGTATTGTGCAGTGTAAATATAATGTATTGTGCAGTGTAAATATAATGTATTGTGTAGTGTAAATATAATGTATTGTGTAGTGTAAATATAATGTATTGTGTAGTGTAAATATAATGTATTGTGTAGTGTAAATATAATGTATTGTGTAGTGTAAATATAATGTATTATGTAGTGTAAATATAATGTATTGTGTAGTGTAAATATAATGTATTGTGTTGTGTAAATAAAATGTATTGTGTAGTGTAAATATAATAATGTATTCTAGTAAGTGTTGTGTCAACATGTACAGTGGCGAAACGTACCTGTGTGCCCCCCCCCCCTCCCCCAACATAGCAAGAGCCACATTAACGTTGGGGTCGACTAAATGCCTATACAAATTTTATAATTATGTTTTTATAACGCTCTGAAGCCCATATGCCCTCAACATGTAAATATTCACCACGTAGCTCTATGAGCTGCATAATAATATGTGCCAAACTACATGATAAGTTATGTAAACTTGTGGTTATATTATACAATATATACATTGTATAATATATATATTGTTATATTATACAATATATATATTGTATATATACAATAGTGTAGTTTATTGCACGCTGTTTGATACACAGTATACTTATAACAATTACATCAACTCTGTTAAAGACTTCTCTTTGATTCACACAAATTGAAATACTTTCTGCAGATTTACATGCGATGAAGACAATTTTTGTTTTTGTAACAAAGTTTTAAACGAGAAATCTCGGTCAGAAGACGATAAGCATAACTGTTAACTTTGTTCAATGAATTGTTGAATATGAAGTAAACGTGCATGAATAATGATTGAACTGTCCACCGTGCAGTAGTTGATAAAGACACAATATACATAATATAATACTGTTATTAATTCTAACAAGAGCTAATGTTTGTGCGTAGCAGCTTGAAGTAAACTGACAAAATACCATTTTCCTGAATAGAACACAGTAAGATACTATCACATGATACATATTATATTATATCATAGTCATATATATAATATATGACTATTGATTGTCGTGTTGGGAGATATTTTGAATATTGCCATAATGTAAATAAATAGAAAATGTAATATGCGACACACACAATACTCGTCATTATTCGAAATACCACAAACTTGTTATTCTGTTATTGGCAGAAATACAAATCTTACTTACATATCAGATTCCAAAACATTACTTCCCTCCTTCCTTTGTAAACTCTACCTCTACTGGAGTACTTAAATCATCAAAATGACTAACTAGACCAAATAAAATAAAAAATAAAACTAGACCCGATAAAACATTGGACCACCTAACCAATTTTAAATTTTCCCAGATAACGTTTGTGACATGAAACTTAAAACCTATCTAATAACTAATTTTTATCTAATAAAAACTAATTTGAATCTCCCCTCAGCTCTAGGTGAGAGTTACGTTCCCCCCGGCGCCTGGAAGCAAGTGTACGAAGTTATCACCAACGCTACAAAGTTCATATACATCACAGGTATACATCACATACTGTCATATACATCACAGGTATACATCACATACTGTAATATACATCACAGGTATACATCACATACTGTAATATACATCACAGGTATACATCTGATCTCAAAATGTATCGGTCGAAACTCGTAACTTGTACCTATATAATATGTGTCAAATTATTTGTGCAAGACCATCCATATATTTTGTGAAATACAATCCTCATATAGAGAAAGGAATGTGCACTCGATACGACCGTTCCTTAAACCACGACGTAATATAATTACACACCTGATGTACATTGTGGTGAAACAGCACTGAAGATATAAATGTTTTAGCAGCTACACGATAATGTAAACTGGCAGTTTTGTTCAGTGTTCTTGTTAATGATTGTATGAAGTTGTTTTCCCAATTTAATCCACTAACATGAATTTAACAAAGCATTGATTATCTCATACCATAAACAATAAACTCTAGGTTGGGCTGTGTTTACGGAGGTAGTACTAGTCCGAGAAGAGGATGCTGACAACAGAACACTGGGTGAAATACTAATAGAAAAAGCAGAAGAGGGCTGCGTTGTATTTATCATGGTGTGTAATATGTTGGGTATTTACTGTTTGGTTTGTAGGGTCATTTTAAAGATTGTTTTTTAAAAACTTTGAACATCTGTCCAAAGTAATTACACTCCAGGGTATATGCCCTGAAAACAGTCTGTGTTGCAAGTAACAACACAATGTCCAGTGACCTGTAAAAAGTTGTCATAACAAGGAAGCGTATCAAGTGAAGATAGGAAGTCAGATGTGCATTTTGCCCCAATATTGTGTCTTCTATAGTTCCTGATATTCACACTGTATCTCAGATTAGCGGTTTTTTATTATTCATTATAATGTTAATTAGTAGATGAGAGTCAAAACATATAATAATACATACAAAAGTTTATCAATCAGCAAATAATATGCGAAAGTTATCACAGCTATTTATCATATATATGGAGCCACATTCCGATGTAAAGGTATCATATGTAACGAACAATGATCATATTACATTGACTTGTGGACACGTAGAGTGTAGACCTACCTTTTCAGCTCCTGCACGTTATAAACATTTTATTTCACATATTGCCATGCTTTAGACGACATTTAGATGTAAAAAGAGTGGCATCGTCATTCCTTTTCAATGCGCGCGCCGTAAATATACTCGTTTTTAATTAACATGTGTGAAAGCATCGTGTACTGCATGATGATGAGGCTATAAATTTGCATACTGATAAGTTATATGTATATTGTTAAGTGCTTGGGAAGTAAATCCTCACCTCAACCATTTCAGATCTGGGACGAATATGACGACATGATTCCCAGTCTGGTGGGGACACATGACACAGATACGGCAGAGTACTTCGAGGACACACGTGTTACAGTGAAGAGATGTGCACGTGGTTGTACAGAAAGTGGAACATCCGGTACTGGTTCAGTAATAGAATATATCCTTGTGTTAAATCTCCTTTTTTCCGAGCTGTGCTTGTTTGACAGTCTCCACAAATGGATTCCATTTATTTGAGCGGATATTTGTGTTAATTTAAAGTCCTCCTCAGGGGATACGATGACCCGACTGATATACTCTCATCACCAAAAGAGTATTATCTGCGATTCTCCTTCTATAAACGAGGACGACGAGAGGTCTGTACTCTAAACGTACGATATTATCGTTACGATATAATGACAATACATTTCCTTCGGCATAATCACACTGCATATCTGTAACACGGGATCATCCTGTACTTCATATAATGTGTCAAATTTGAGATATCACTTCAAACACAAGAAAACATTGCCGTCGAACAAGAGTCGTGTTACCCACATGATCACACTGTACTCCAACTATAATAAACCCTCTCCAAACAGATTACGTGTAGTGGCGTTTGTAGGAGGACTAGACCTGACAGATGGCAGATACGACACCCCCCAACACCCCCTCTTCTCAACCCTCCTAGACAAACACGCAGCTCATGACTTCTACCAGAACTGCGTGACTGTCCGGGCCGAGGCTGGACCTAGACAGCCCTGGCATGACATTCACAGGTGGGTTATACCACGTGGTTACCATGTGGTTACCACGTGGTTACCACGTGGTTACCATATGGTTACCATGTGACTGTGAAATTGTTTGTGTTAACTGTCTTGAAATGTCTGTATTTGAAGATCTTGCTGTTTATTGGTCAAGATTACCGCATCTCAGCATTAAGAATTTAGCAGTTCATCTAGCAAGGATGCATTAATTAAGTCAACTTCAAACGAATTTCAGTCACCATTAAATCGCTTATTAATGGACTGATTTGAATTCTTGCTAAATTCTTTATATATCGAGGTAGATTTGGTCAAAGGACGTGATTGCTGTCATTTATCGAATGATGGCATAACCTCTTAGCAAAAACAATCTTGGTAAAAACGGTAGTTTCCTAATAATTGTCTAGAACCATACCAGCGTCATAACCATCATCGATGTCTCGTGGCTGGAAGTGGATACGATCATTCTAAATTTTGTTGGTATATCAATTTCAATGTGATAAAAGAATAAACGATCATAGTATTAAAAGCACTAAATACCAGGTGTTGTTTGTTATAAATCTGTTATCTCAGTTACTTGGAAGGCAAGATAGCTCAAGACATACGACGTAACTTTGAGGAGCGATGGTCGGCTGAAGACGACGGTTCCAACGAGTTGAACTATCTTGACGAATCTGAGTATAATCTGGAGGAGGTTTACGAGGGAGATGATAGATGGAACGTGCAGTTCCTGAGGTCCATTACTAGTCAGAGTTGCCAGGTCACTATGTAATTAATTAATTAATTAAGTAATTACTATGAAATATCATTATGATCAATGATCAGATGGCAGATGCTCGCGCAAATTGTGTAACTGTAAGTGTGCTGTCCTAGAAAATACACATGTGTAAATCGCTTGTATCAAGACTGTTGAGAACACCCGGTTTCTAAGACAGAGGTTTTTTTTTCAGTTTTCATACATGGAGAGGGCAAGAAAGCTAAAGACAGAGCGATCCGAGAAAATAGAGGACACTATACACTCCGGATACATTCATCACATCAGACGTGCTCAAAACCACATCTTCATTGAGAACCAGTACTTTTTAGGTAGGTTAACACTTAACATGTATACTCCATAACAGGGCATCTGACTGGAATATTGTGGCCTATTAATTTATTATTTAGTTGATTAATTAGCAACCAATTATAATTTCTCCTCAGGCTCAGCGCACGTCTGGGAGGGAGATGACATTCCTAAAAAAGCGACCAACTTGATAGCGATAGAGCTGGTACGGAACATTATCGAGGCTATAAAACAGGGATGCCACCACTCTGTCTACTGTGTTATACCCATGTACCCAGAGGGAATACCCAGTTCCATGCCGGTATGTAGATGTGCATCATTAGTTTCACTACTTGTACCAGTACCAGTACCAGTATCAGTATCCGTACCTTACCAGTACCAGTACCAGTACCAGTATCCGTACCAGTACCAGTACCAGTACTAGTACCAGTACCAGTACCAGTACCAGTACCAGTACCAGTACCAGTACCAGTACCAGTACCAGTACCAGTACCAGTACCAGTACCAGTACCAGTACCAGTACCAGTACCAGTACCAGTACCAGTACTAGTACTAGTACCAGACACCAGTACCAGACACCAGTACCAGTACCAGCACCAGCACCAGCACCAGTACCAGTACCAGTATCAGTACCAGTACCAGTACCAGTACCAGTTCCAGTTCCAGTTCCAGTACCAGTATCAGTATCAGTATCAGTATCAGTACCAGCACAAGTACCAGTACCAGTATCAGTACCAGTATCAGTATCAGTATCAGTACCAGCACAAGTACCAGTACCAGTATCAGTACCAGTATCAGTACCAGTATCAGTATCAGTACAATTATTCTAATTATCAACACAAATATGTAAACTATAGTTTTAATCGATAAACACCTTAAATTAAACTATACTGAATTATATTTTACAGTAGAACACAAATTGGCTATACCCTTATATCAACCTGAAAAGTTCATTGTCGTGGCAGGTTCAAGAGATTCTATACTGGCAGACAGCTACAATGAGGATGATGTATAGGTATATAGCGCAGACCATCGAGGAGGAAGGACTCGACACCCACCCGACTGATTATCTATCATTTTACTGCATCGGTAGGATAGTAATAATTTCTTATACCATGTTTTGACACATGACAATGATTTATGGATTTGATTGGTCGCTGTTGCACGCTGATCATTTGATAGATCTGTCACGTGCCAAAAAAATAAAGCCCAGAGAGTATCCATGACTATAATTCTGGAAGGTATAATTTTGTGATATCGACAGTATTAGAATTAAACACAAGTGTAAAACATTTGAAACCCAGGTGTACGAGGGGATGAAATTCCAGAGGATTTAGCAGAACCGGAGACTGATGTTGAGATCCACCTGAGGGAAAAGAACCGCTTCCCTATCTACGTGCATTCTAAGGTTAAGATCCTGGAGATATTTTTACAAATAGAGTGGCAGTTTTGATTTTTGCATCTTTTGATTTCTTGTAGTTAATTTGTTTTTGTGACATAAATTGGAATCCATTGTTGTTAAGACTAACCTGACTAATTAGTAATTAGACTAATTAGTAATTAGAGTAATTAGTAACCCCTCCAGATGCTAATAGCAGATGATGAGTATATAATAGTGGGTAGCGCTAACATCAACCAGCGAAGTATGTCCGGGAGGAGGGACACGGAGATGGCGGTGGGGTGCTACCAGCCTAACTTCCTCTGTCAGGAAGGGGAGCTGCCTTCAGGTGATGTGAGTATCTTACTTTTACTTTTTAAAGAACTGTGTTTTTTATACTACGTTTAGAAGTGTTATGTATGCCCATGGGTTGGTTTGCTTTTGTCAAACGTAAATCGCTTCTCGAAAGTTCGGCTTGTTATCCATTCTTTCATAGTCTATGAACTAAAGTCGGGACTAATTTTAATGAAATTGATCAAAGCTTCTGGCTTTAATGAGACCAAATTAAACAAATAATGTCAGTGTACTATGCAAATTTATAACTTTACAATACAGTACAATACCAAAAAACAAATAATATGGTAGATCTAAACGTTGAAACTGTTCCTTCGCAAAAATTCATAGCAACATTCTTTTTCGAAGATAAAACTGGAAAATATTTCGGTCATACAAAATAATGCTCAAAAATCAAAAGTTACTTTTTCCCCATCAAATGACACTAAATATATCAGCCGACACCAAGTAAGCGAATTGTCTACAAGCAAAGTGAAGTATCCACGACTTAAGCGAAGTATCCAATACGGATAGTAACAGAAGGTCTAGGAGGTCTGATATACTCTCCCTTAGCCCCTTCTCCCTCAAACCACTCCTTCAGCTCCGGCAAGGTCTCCATGGCTCTAAAGAACATGGTAACAGGCTTGTTGTTGATCCCATGGAAGCAACGAGGTACGAACTGCTTCAAGTCGTAGAGACAGGCGTACGCGAGGAAGTCAGCATAACAAGGAGTGGTTCCACAGAGTAGATCCCCAGGAGGGGTGCACTCCACTGCTATCATAGCGTTCACTTTAGGCAGCTCCAGTCTCAACCTCCTGCTGTAACGGTTCTTAGCGTAGTTATCATCATAAGACACCTCCTTCTCAGGATCATAGCACACTTTGTTTATCATCCACGTCATCCTGTTCATCAGGTAGAACAGCTTAGTCTCCAGCTCCTCGCACCTCATAGCTCCCTCGTAGGTCTTGGGTATCATGTTAGTGATCCAGCCCAGAGACCTCATCAGGATGAAGTTCTCTGTTATCTTACCGTCAAGATCGTAGACATGCACGTTCTGTACGTCCTGAGCCTCGTCAGTCAGCCAGTGGGGTGTATCGTCTGCGTGCATGCTGGGCGAGTGCAGCTCGGGGTCGTATTCTACTCCGCAGTACTTTATCATCATCTTAGCTATCTTGGGGAGACGTTCGTAAGGGATGGGCCCTTCGATCTTGGGGTGATGTGTTCGTAGGTCAACATCCATGGTAAGAAAGGTTTGTGTCTAAACGAAAACAAGAGTTGAACGAAAACTGAGAATACTGGTGATTAATGTGAGTCTTAATGGCTTTTATATCGGATATCGTCTTTTAATTTCACTGTATTAATTGGTAATACTGTAATTCAAGCTTTGAGAGGAAATTATTAAGGACATTTTTAATTAGATAAGCTTATCTGCTATTATATGTTAATTGATTAGAATAATTGTATTGTATTGTCATCATGAAACAAAATATAATCCATTGTCAGCAGCGTAGCCCGGCAGCACAATAAATTAAAGTAATCAACAATAGCTCAAATTAATTATTAAATTTCTTTTCATTCCTTATTCAGATTTTGCATAGGAGGGTTCCAAATCTTTCCAGAAATTAACGGATAGGGTTGTTCTGGATTAAAATTCAATTTTCAAGTGAGCAGATATATTTCAGCCTGATGTCTCACAGTCGCATAAAATATCGCCCAGATCTTTATTTCCCTGATTTAAATCTCAGTTCGCAAAATCTTTTGATCCTCAGCGATTATGCTAATACGGATCTTCACATTATTTAACTTAGATGAACTTGAAGTGTGTGGAGTCAAATCTAGAACCAGACATTTATCTGATTTCCTGGGACCCCTCAAGAACTCCAGAACCTTCCTCCTAAATTGTCGCATTCTTGCCAAATAGATAAAAGGATTGAGCATGCTGTTGAACGCAACACTTAACTGATGGATTATGGGAGCCGCATAGTTCCTTAGAAAGCTCGTCCCCCCAGTCAGCACTAACCCTTCTTTCTGCCAGACTATCAAATACTGTAGCACCACCATCCCCTCCTCCAGACTCTCCGTACCCCTGTAAATATCCACCATGTACATCCACACGTACACAACATGAGGAATGTTACACACAATGTAGACAGCTGTTATCAGGACTACTGTTTTAGCTGCTTCTCTGTGCAGAGTGTACTTGTTGCCCCCCGCGCGTGAGGTTGATCTCTTGTTACTTTTCCTCAGAAGTTGGATAGTCAGAGCGCAGGATATGAGGATTACCAAGAACATGACACTAGGGACAATGGCATAGAACAGGGTGGTGTAGACTGCACTAGACAACTGTATCTCCGTAGCGTGGGATAGTATCTCGTCTGAGGAGACCGAGAATGGGAAGAGAATGCAGGTTAGGATATGCTGACCGTACACAGGGAACTGGACTTTAGTTGTCACGATTACAATCCAACAAGTGGCAAACACTGCGCAGAATCCTGGTGGCAAGGCAAATGGCAGCCATGTTTTCAGAGGCTTTTGTGGATATTTTAATGCAACAAAACGGGACACGCTGAGTAGTCCCACTAAAAAGACTGACAGCTGAGAGACAGTCCACCACACTATTACCCAAGCTCCACAGAAGCTGGTGTTGAAGAACAGCAGGGTGGGGCGCTCTATAGCTCCATAGATACTTCGGCCACGGTTCAGGGTGAGGGCAGCTTGGATGACTGGGAAAAGAGAACAACAAATCAGGGTATCGTTTAATGTGATCACCATGTACAGGCGCTTAAAATATATCTTGTTCGGGGTCTTGGCTTTCTGCTTTGCGAAATACACAAAAGTTCCAATGTTAAGGATTGTTCCGATGACACAGAAAAGTGTGAGAGTAGCTCCAAAGGCAAGATCCGCGGCTCGGTCATGTTCGTCTATTAATGGTAAAGGTTCTTTTGCGTCCATCGTGGTATTCATCCTGTAGAAAGTTGTTAATTGTTAGCTTTTATCTAGCATGGTAACATGGTGTGTTCTATGTTCATGATTATTGGGTTTGATAGTGCAATGTGACGACCGCTTTACTGTTGCCGGTAAATTTACTAATGATTAGACTTTCTCATTGTCCTCTTTTGAGGTACCTCAGGTATTTGGCACGTTTCTAAATGGAATTTGTATAAGTAAAAGGCCGGGCATGAATCGCGAATAATATGGCAGCGTTGCGGATAATCTTTCACGTTCATGCCGCAAATCTTACAAAATCTTGCAAATTTTACAATTTCTACTTATCTTGTATTGCCGATGGTTAAATTATACGATCCAATAAGAATTCAAACATATAAAAGCACTAAAATAATCAATAACATTCCATTCCCTTGATCATTTTCATAACTTACAACCACAGAACCTAGTAGACTGCTCTTCACATAACCCAGCAGCTGCGTTATTTGAACTGTCTAACTCTAAGATGAGATAATCAGTCAGAGAGGGAAGGTAGTGATGCAAGGTGGTCCACGAAGCAAAAGCAAATTGCCGTCGCTCTCTTAAACGTTTGCTGTTGAATTCTTGTGAGAAAAATATAACCGAAACGCTTATTCGACAGCTTGGGCTAGCTTAAATGCTACTTAAACCTATACCTATCTCACCTATGTTAAGATTCGTTAAGCTTTAACAGGGCCATCACATTGTGTAACCACACCTCAGAGAGCTGTCATTCCTCCAGCAAAGCAGCGAGTTTGAGTTCTGAGGATTTTAACCTCGAATGGGCGGTGTATTGGGAAGAGATAGCATGAACTGGGTGATGAGCGATTTGAAATGCTCCCGGCCGCCGATGCAATTCATATGGTAACTTGTAAGGCATTGCATAATGAATTTTTGGGCCTATGACTGCAAATGAATAACTTACGTAATTAATTGAAAAGTTAGAAAATATACCAATACCAAGACCGTGATACTGGTTGAACTATCCTCTCCTACTGAGGAGAATATCTAGGAGTGAAACTCTGAAAAAGAAAGAAATGAAGGACTGACAGTGCTGTATTAATGGATGGAGAGCTAGTCTGTTCTGTGTAGAAGCGGACAGTTTCTTTGAGACAATGAGAAAGATGGTTCTGAAGAGCACTAAGGTGCACTTAGCACTAAGGTGACAAAAATTTTGATGCTGGTGGGGACATAAGCTCATTCAACTGTACAGAATTTAAATGCATGGAACAGGAGCTAGGTATTTAGCTGAAGACTTCCTAAATTGTGACGGAGTTATCTTATGTTAATGTGTCCAGTAAACACCAACATTGGGGATTGGACAGATCCCCGAGAACAAGAATTGTAAGCAATAGCATTTATTGCCAGACAAAATCTGACTGGAAGCAAAGTTACATTGCTTCATTTGGTAATACATTTTGGTGATTTACAAATTCAAGTACTTATTCGCTTTTTTAAATGGTTCTCTGATATAAACGAATGAAATTTCAAATGAGCCTGGAACATACAAACAGGAAACGCAAACCACATTCAGTTTGATGCTACGATTAAGGGGTTGTGTGAAGCTAGAGAGTACTAGGCAACCCCTTGTTATACAGGGTGATGCAAAAAGAATGTTGTTATTTTAAAACTTAATAAAAACATTTATGGAGCAAATTTTGATGTATGAGTTGCTATCAATTTATAAACGTCATGAATTTCATTCTGGCTTCACGTTTGATCCTGACTCACAATTTTTTGATTTATGGCAACATTCCAAAAAGTTTGAAAATCTTGGAATTTGTTTGATGATTTTTAGAGGGCTGTCAATTTTAAAATCAAATTAAAGTGTTCCAAAGGCTCAACATTCTCTCCGGGCGATCTCTTTTATTATATTATTCCAGTTTTCATACATTTTTAGAACCTAAATATGCGAAAATGGAGTGATTTTAAAGTTTATCTCATAAATTGTAGCCATTTAAAATCTCAACATTCTTTTTGCATCACCCTCACACCCTGTACAGTGTACAAGTATATTAAGTCAATGTTAGTGTATTAAACACAGGGTCACATTTCTGCTAATCCATTCTCGATATTATGATTCACGCTTTGTGCTGCAAAGCAGATTGTGGCGAATAGAAACCCTTAAGGCTTAAGAATAAGAAACTAATCGATCAAATTGAGCTTAACAGCATGTTTTATAGTGTAAAAGCAGATTAATCTGCAGAAACAACGCCACATTCGCTCTTCACATAAGAAATGGCTTATAGATAGCGACTAATTAGAACATTGATGTGGTCGGCATTTCGAGGCTGATATCTTGCATCATACTTTATGTGTCGTTATAGCGCTCGCAGAAACTTGCTAATTATTTGCCACTATAACCACTGATTTGATTAGAAACTTTCATCACATAATGAATAAAAGTAGCATTGAAGGTTAATAAACTTGTGGTACAAAGAATGTTTAGGCTGCTAAAATGCTCTGGTGAATGGGGGTCATTTAAGGCTAGATCTTCAAGAATGTAGATGGACTATTAATTATTATAAAATATCAATTAAAAAGGGAAAAAGAAATTCAATTTACTTCCTAACAGTCACACGAGGCGTTGTTTGGCGTCTCACCTGGTATTGATTTCACTCTCTAATAATTTTGACCTTTAAGTTTAATCACCAGGAGGATACTTTGTGATTTTCAAGCCTTCTGTAATAGCGTGGATGATACAGTTCATAGTTTTCAAAGGAAATTTTAGCTTGAAAAATCAGCCATTTAATAAATCTTTCTCTGTTCCTCAAAATATTAATAAAATCTCGAAGTTTAAAATCTGAGCATGCTTCAAAGTAATTTCTTGGATTAAAATGATATGAACTTTACGGTAAGAAATTTCCAACGTCTAATGACTTTCGATCAAGATTAAAACCCGTTATCGAATAGATACTATAAATTATTGCCCCGCACAAAGACCATGTATCCATCAAAATATTTAAAGTTACGTTCGATGAACACAGATTCTTATCAGTACCCATTAGACTTTGCAGGGAAATGATCATTGAACATATCTTCAATTGTATACTGCAATCTGTCTAGTCGTCAAAGAATGCTGAATTATTCATTAAAATAATATAATATGCGTCAAACTTCGTGACATCCAAAACGCTCTCATAATATGCTGGTGAATAACCCATATTTTGTTACCACGTTGCACTTGAACCTTTGCACGAGTTGCTGTTCCTTAATTCTTCAAATTCTAACACTTTAGATCGAGCAACTCTCTCGTGAATCTCACTGTTAGTAACAGTGATGTTCGTGAGAGAGTTGCTCGATCTAAGCTAGCAGCTGCTCGATCAAAAAATTTAAAGGTCAAAAGCAAACATATTACCAAGGTGTTTCTCTCAATAGAGTAATAGATAAGGGATGATTACCTACGTCCTACGAGGTGCAATGGAGAATTAAATCACAATAAAAGCAAACTCCAAAGAGATCTCTTAAAAGATATCACCTGACTTGGAATTGCAATTTTTTAATTAATCACAACGCATTATCTATGAGCATCCATCATCTTACTACCATTTTAATGGCTTATTGTAATACTATTCTGCAGAAGCGTTTGGTTCCCAGCCTCTATATTACTTAACTCGGCCGGAGATCTCACCTGTAAATTGCAATAAAGGAACGCGACTGATAAGTGATATATTTATGAGCCAAAAACACTATAAAGCCCATATCTGGGCCCATGCATCAAATTTGATAGCTTACCGTTATGTTAGTGGTCCCTAAAAATGGGTAAAATATCATCTAAATCTTTGAATGATACCAACTTTATGTAGGTCGGTGTAAACTATGCATAATCTGTAAAAAAAATTTGAATTGATTAAAAAATAAAAAAATGAACTAAATCGGTCATATCTTAGTCAGACGAACAACAACAACAAAAACAACAACAAAAACAACAACAAAACAGCTATATTAATAGGGATCCGGTAACGGAAGTGAGATAGAAATTAGAAATTAGAAATTAGAAATTAGAAATTAGAAATTAGAAATTAGAAATTAGAAATTAGAAATTAGAAATTAGAAATTAGAAATTAGAAATTAGAAATTAGAAATTAGAAATTAGAAATTAGAAATTAGAAATTAGAAATTAGAAATTAGAAATTAGAAATTAGAAATTAGAAATTAGAAATTAGAAATTAGAAATTAGAAATTAGAAATTAGAAATTAGAAATTAGAAAGATCATTACAAAATTACATGTGTCAGATCCCAATCAGTTAAATGAAATTGGTGATGATTGGTTTAGATATAAACCAATCATGACGAGGAATTTTAGCAAATTTATGAAATGCTACTTTGTGTCAACTGTCAATGTTTATAACTGAACTCCGCAATGATGTGGTTAAGTAGCTTTCATTGCAATGTAGCTCAAGGCCATGAGGGGTAATTTAGGGGTAATTTAGGGGTAATTTGGTAATGGAGAGAATTTAAATTGATTGATTACTTGATTCAAATAGTCTGAGACCACAGTCAGATTTGGCAAGGAAAGTGAACTACTTTTAAACAATTTGAGGCAAGTGTGGGAACACACTTTTCGTAAAATTTTGCATTTAAATATTGCCTCTGCTTTTTGAAAGATTCGCCATTCCAGCAACCCAGACTCTTAAGACGGCAACTTCTCGAACCCAGCTCCAGAACTGCCATCGATAAGATTAGAATGAAAAACTTACTAATCGTACTCAAAACGTGTAAAAACAAAAATAAGTTTAGTATTAAATTGTAAATGATATGGTTTATCAAGTATGTGGTCAGTTTACTTATTACTACTGCCCTCATTAGATACAAATTTCAAGTGTGGTAGTCCAATTGTTTCATATTGTAGCTCAAACTTGGCTCTCCTTTAAAGTTTTATTGGTGTTGGTTTCGTAACCGTAAACTCTTATTAACTTTCACGTCTTTGTGTTTCGGAGTCAGTCAAGACTTTCCCTCATCACATCATGACCAATACAACTTAGTCATAGTACTATTATTACATTATGGCGTTTAGGACGGAGTCTAAGTTAATATTAGAGTATTAGCGACAAGAGAAACACTATTGTTGGACGTGAGGAGAGTAAGGACTCCTCAAATTAAATATACCACCAATATTGTCCTTCAACTAATTAGACCCATTCCATTATCTTAACAGAAACTGTTTAAATCAAATTTCTCTCAAACCCAAATTCCAACAACACCAGCTCACCTCACTAACAAGCACAACAGGAAGCCCACCACATTCCAACAACACCAGCTCACCTCACTAACAAGCACAACAGGAAGCCCACCACATTCCCACAACACCAGCTCACCTCACTAACAAGCACAACAGGAAGCCCACCACATTCCAACAACACCAGCTCACCTCACTAACAAGCACACCAGGAAGCCCACCACATTCCAACAACACCAGGTCACCTCACTAACAAGCACACCAGGAAGCCCACCACATTCCAACAACTCCAGCTCACCTCACTAACAAGCACACCAGGAAGCCCACCACATTCCAACAACACCAGCTCACCTCACTAACAAGCACACCAGGAAGCCCACCACATTCCAACAACACCAGCTCACCTCACTAACAAGCACAACAGGAAGCCCACCACACTCCAACAACACCAGCTCACCTCACTAACAAGCACAACAGGGAGCCCACCACATTCCAACAACACCAGCTCACCTCACTAACAAGCACAACAGGAAGCCCACCACATTCCAACAACACCAGCTCACCTCACTAACAAGCACACCAGGAAGCCCACCACATTCCAACAACACCAGCTCACCTCACTAACAAGCACAACAGGAAGCCCACCACATTCCAACAACACCAGCTCACTTCACTAACAAGCACAACAGGAAGCCCACCACATTCCAACAACACCAGCTCACCTCACTAACAAGCACACCAGGAAGCCCACCACATTAACAAAACAAGCCACCGCAGCAGCACAAATAGTAGGAACCTCACTTGCCCTGGTGATAGTCAGCCCACCACATTCCAACAACACCAGCTCACCTCACTAACAAGCACAACAGGAAGCCCACCACATTCCAACAACACCAGCTCACCTCACTAACAAGCACACCAGGAAGCCCACCACATTCCAACAACACCAGCTCACCTCACTAACAAGCACAACAGGAAGCCCACCACATTCCAACAACACCAGCTCACTTCACTAACAAGCACAACAGGAAGCCCACCACATTCCAACAACACCAGCTCACCTCACTAACAAGCACAACAGGAAGCCCACCACATTCCAACAACACCAGCTCACCTCACTAACAAGCACACCAGGAAGCCCACCACATTCCAACAACACCAGCTCACCTCACTAACAAGCACAACAGGAAGCCCACCACATTCCAACAACACCAGCTCACTTCACTAACAAGCACAACAGGAAGCCCACCACATTCCAACAACACCAGCTCACCTCACTAACAAGCACACCAGGAAGCCCACCACATTAACAAAACAAGCCACCGCAGCAGCACAAATAGTAGGAACCTCACTTGCCCTGGTGATAGTCAGTCCTCCCATTACAGTCGCTAAAGCTTGGGAAATGCAGAGAGAGAAGTTGAAGACGGCTGTTGATCGCTCAGCTAGACCCTTCGTCTTAACCTGCCATTTCTCGTACAAACTAAACTTACTCATCACAGCTATGTTGATGACAGCGGCGTTTCCTATCCCTATCAGCACAGATCCTAGCTCAAATGAACCGGGGAAGGCGAGAAATTCAGTTGTTGATCCGTAAGACATAACGGCACCAACGTAAAACACCACATTACCTACCAACATGACGATGGTAGGACCGAATCTCTTGTTCAACAGAAAACCTAAAACCATGCTGGATACAAACGAGAATACCACCATTAGTGTGCTGAACAGAGCTGCTGTTCTCAGAGACTTCCCCGTGAACTCTTTGATCCTAACTGGAATGGCAAATGTGAGGAGAATGTAGGCTATGTTGTTCAGGAAAACAGCCAGGTCGGGAAGAAAGAAGACAAACTGTTGCAGCCTGGTTGGTTTGTCTTTTAGAACATTGCCCTCTGCACTGACAGCTGGTTTGGTGTCATTCAGCTGTGATGTTTTGTCATTCAGATCATGGGTTGTCCTTTTTATGATACTTCCAATAACTGGTAGTAGTAAGACGGGGATGATATCAAACACGGCGATTAGAAAACCGGTCATTAACCAGCCTCCCGTTATGTAGAGCTCTGTCCCGAGTACTATTGCAATTACTATTGCCAAGTGCATCGCCCCACTTATTATCACCATTAGTGTCTTCTTTTCCGCTAGATACATATCTACAATCTCTCCCTGGAGGTGGAAGTAAGTTCACTTTGAAACGCCCACAGATGTTGTATAGAGTATGCATATAACTAGTTACAATTTGAAAAGGGCATACACCAAAAGTTCTTAAAATTTTGAAGAAGTTTCTTGAAAAATACTGTTATTGACTCCAAAAAACATACCTGTACAATAACAAACAGCATTCCAGCACACACGCCCTGGACAGCTCTGACCACCCCAATAACACTGAATACAAGATTACCACTAGGGTCTTTATCCACCATCGCGTCAACACCTGACAGAATAATCTTTCTGACGCCACCACTCGGAATTAAATCGATGATTTGGTCAAATAAATTGTAAGTTTTTGGGATTGTGCTCACCGTTTTGGTGTTCTTTTCGATTGAATTCGACGAACAAATTTAAAATTCGGCAAAAATTTTAATTTTTAACAGTATTGTAACTTAATCATAATGCGACTAGTAGTAGAAATATAAGTTTTAAAGCTAAAAGAGCTCTATTAATTTGTTTCTATACGTACCTGACATGACAAAGAAACAGAGGATGTTCCCAATGATGAGAAGAAAACATCGTCTGGTTAGAGGCAGTGATCTGAAACTAGGAAGAAGAGACATCAGATAGGGCGCTATCGCTTGTGTTATCAACATTGTTGATAGTGCAGTTAAACCTGAAGTGTAATCAACATTGTTGAAAGTGCAGTTAAACCTGAAGTGTTATCAACATTGTTGATAGTGCAGTTAAACCTGAAGTGTTATCAACATTGTTGATAGTGCAGTTAAACCTGAAGTGTTATCAACATTGTTGATAGTGCAGTTAAACCTGAAGTGTTATCAACATTGTTGAAAGTGCAGTTAAACCTGAAGTGTTATCAACATTGTTGATAGTGCAGTTAAACCTGAAGTGTTATCAACATTGTTGATAGTGCAGTTAAACCTGAAGTGTTATCAACATTGTTGAAATTGCAGTTCAACCTGAAGTGTAATCAACATCGTTGAAAGTGCAGTTAAACCTGAAGTATTATCAACATCGTTAAAACTTTAAAAGTGCAGTTGAGGAGTAGTAAATATCTCTTTCTCTATGGGCCAGATCAGTTTAGGGCCCAAGGTCCGTCACTGATTAAATTGAGGGTAATAAAGTTGCTTGTTAACAGTAAAAAGTATTGAATGATTCGAAGATGAAATAGTTACAATATGCTATCGACAAAATATAATGCAATTTGATTTGAAAATGGATAACTTTAATATAACCATAAAGTAGCCCAAATGGTTGGAATGCAGAAACTAACCAGAGGTTGTGTTCAGGTCCCTGCTAATGAGATAATCAATGTAAAATCCAGTATAGTAGGAGCGTGGTATGTATGTTGTAGCATTGCCAAAACATGCAAACAGAACAATTACAACGAGCTGCCAAACTTTCAGACTACCATCTGTTGCTACTACCATGCTGTTTTCCCCTGCAAGTAATAGTTTACTATTAGTTTAATTAGTTTGTGCTCAAGTTTCTCTTAGAACGTAAGATAATGTGAAAATAGCGATATTTCTGCCAGTGTCTCTTGTCGTTTGCTAAATTACGGAAATAATACAGATGAAATTTATTATATTTTCTGATTACAATATAATATATTACCATTAGCATGCGAAATGATTGCTAGGGTCTTCCTCTGTTAACTAGTTACCATCTAAAATCCAGTGAGGGAAATAATGGTCCATCACTTGGGCCCCTGCAAAACACCTCCTTATATTCCCTAGCAACTACAATCCAGTTTTACTGTCAACGGTTCAGGAGTGTAGCGTTTGTAAATGTGGGGGGGGGGGGGCTCATGTTATTTTTTGTCCGTTTTTGTCCCCCCCTAAATGTTCTCGTTCGAGGTGATGTTTAGGTACTTAATATTCAAATATAGCTGACCTTCATTGAACATTTGGTTTCTGGCCTGGTTGCTTTTAGTAAGGTGGTTTTATTTATGTTAATGGTTTAATTCAAGGCAGATCGATCAGGTATTGTTAAGTAATCCTCACGAAGATCATGACGCTTTTCAACAAGCACTATAGCTTGTACTGCTTTCATGTTTTAACATATTTAAGAGAGCTTTATATTCAATAAGACTTGTGGAAGACTCGAAATTTAAAGCTGTGGACCTGCACGAATATGTAAATTCCCTTTCTACCATTTATACCAATCTGTAAGCTGAATTCTCGACCTGGGAATAAATTGACCCATACAGTATTCTTACGACGAAGGCAATCGAAGAGTCAGGAGAGCGTTCCTGCGTAAATGTTGTCTGCGTTGGTTTAATAAATGAGACTAAATAGTTTTAATTGAAAGGGGGAAAGGGAAAACAATTTTTAGAGCAAGAAGAAATTATCCGTACCTAAATTTGGCGACATGCCATCATTTCCATCCACAGTTTCATCCACAGTTAGTTTGCCTCGATCCCTGGGCTCGTTATTTGGCTCCTCATAAACGTAGCTGTTTGCTATTACCACACCCTGTTTCCCCATCACTTCTGGTATATTCAACCATGAATTTGTGTTTTTTGGGACAACAAAATTTAGATAAAAATCCGAACATGAAGTCATTACTAAATGAAAAGTGTAGGAACCTCCCGTGGGAGTAACTACTAACTAGTCACTAGGTCTACGCAATTTATAGGGCTCCATCCTATAAGAACCAGTATAGGATCTAACTACGCCTGGTATATAGTACTGACTACAAGTCTTAATAACTTGCGGTCTAACTACTAGTAGCTAGAGCGCTCTAATGATGACTAGCTTGAGGGTCTTCGGGATCGATAGTCTCCACCAGTATGGTGTTACTCTAATTCGCCAAGAACTTGTATCCTCCTGAAACTGTACGAGTTAAGCTTGTGATTAAATACGGCTTTCTGTGTCAAGAACTCAAATTTACTTGTGGCACTGCACACTTTTAGTAATTGTAACGACTCAACTTTCAATCATAGTCTCAGAGACTTGCAATATAGCAGTTTTAGCAGTTGTAATGTAAGCGATTAATGACAGTATATGAAAAGACCAGCAGAACATCTGGTCATCAAGGTAAGTAGTATCAAGTATCATAGTATAGTACAATAAAATATAGTATCGACCGAGCTAACCGACCTTAGGATGAGTAGGAGGGGTGGACAGTTGAAGAGTTGGTTCTCTAATCTGCATATCGCCACCGCAGCTTAAAGAGTCGACTTTCCTCAACAAGTCCGGAGATGAGTCTGATCGCTGGCCGGAGATGAGTCTGATCATCTTCAGTCGCACGGAGGCAGAATCAGGGCGTCATCTTAGGGATAAGGGCAGGAACAGAGTAGAAGTGAAGAGATCCAGAGGTTCAGTGTCGGAACGATCGGAGGCCGAGTGACCAACTCGAAGTTGGAATAATGGAACTGAGTAGAAGTGGGGAGAAGTCCAGGTCGTCATCTCGGATAGTCTCCCAGGTTCTGTTAATTTACCGTTTAAACTCAGAGGTCCGATAATTAATTGGTCGTATCAGCTCGGTTTATCTCGTCCTGTCCCGGTGCACTGAAATATGAGATTTCGCCGTCAGGACACCGGTTCGGGGGCTCCGTGATTGGTTGCTATTCGTACGGTTGCCACGGTGATTGGCGCGCTCCACAGTTTGATGGAAGCCTTATCACTGCAACTCTTAATGAGCTTTCATTCGCTCCTAGACAGATGTCCCGTCCGGTCCATCACGGTATGAACTAGGTCTGAAGTGTAAGTGTCAACTCCCAGTGCTCAGTTATTAACTGAGCGACAAAAAGAATAGGGGGGCCGAGGTTCTTACACGTCCCTTTCTTCCAAACTGGCGTCCCGCCATGAGTCTATCTGCGTTTTTGGAATCGGGGAGTTGACATGGAGAATGGAGGTTGACATCAAGGGTTGCTTGGGAGAGAGATCCACGATGGTTAGGAGTTGCTGGCCCGGTTAACCTTGGTCGATACATTAATACACTTCTAAAAACGTGATTTCGCCGCAATAATTTAAGTTAACCCGGTTGTAAATAGTTTAAATAAAACTTGTTTTTTTTTAAAAACAAAAATTTCGCCAATTATCTTTTACTTTAGTTCGTAAATAGTTTTCGGCATTAGGCCAATGGTTATTGATGAATGGAGCTGTGCGGTGTTAAGTGTATGACTTTGAATGACTAACAATATCGCCAACATTTGTTAGAAAAGAAAAGTTACAACTGCAAGTACTAAGGCACGGTTTGTGAAAAGCTTCTTCTTCCTCATTTATTCAAGCCGAGGGTTGCTACTGGGTGATCGCAGGTAGAGGGTTCCCATGATTGGGAGACCATAACCTGCTTTCTTCGGGCGGACCAGCACTCGCCCACTCGGCAGAACCGAGATTTTAGTGAGTTTGTGAGTGAGTGTGACCTAAGGTTCGACGGAAAAGGAGAGAGGCAGAGAAGGAAAAAGAGGGAATTGGTTTTATCATGGAACGCCTATGACCAGGTCGTATCCAGACATCTACTCAGAGGTTTGGAAATACCACCATTTTAGAGAAAACTACCTCCTATTTATAAAAGTCACACTACTATACTCACGCGCCGCCATTACTGGAAAGTTCGTTCTTCGTCCTGTAAGCCAGGGTAGACTGGATGATATCCGCTTGGGTACATGTATTGTGATGCGTAAGGTCCGGGTAGTGTGCCATCTTGCTGTTCTGCTTGTCCAATGTCCGATGGGTGCTGTCGGTTTAGGGGCTTCCCCTGCATTTACCACTAATGATATGTGGCTCTCTGATCTCGGTAAGGTACTGCATCGTTCTTCGCCATATCGTTCTAAGCCGGGGTCTCGGAAGTGTACTCTGGTTGAGTTTCGCCTGCACTTGCAACACGGTGGGGGACACATGTTAGTGTTAGGAGCAACAAAGTCTTTGATCATTTTCAATACCACAAATGCCAGCAGTGTGACCCCTACGATGCATGCCATTTTAAAGTACTTGGGGATCATTTTTATATTTTGTATGGTGTCTTTAATTATTGGTTGTGCACTCTGCATGGTGGCAATCTCCTTTTGTCCTTCTTTCAGCTTCTGTAAGTCCTCCTGGAAGTTTTCCACGTCTCTCGCCAAGCTCTCTGCTCCTAGCCCCGGAATTTTGATCATATCCTCTCGATCTATCATTGGCGCCAGTAGCGGTGGTTTTCGGTACATGATACTGTTGGGCGCCGCATTCTCGGGACTGTGTATCACTATGTTACCGAAGCTAACACTCGTGGTATTCCGATCCCATTTCACAAATGTCACTTGATGCTCCGGCATTATTCTTTCCGCCACTGATGATGTGGTTTGCATGTGTGGGTGGGAAGTACCTTGTTCCGAGGATTTGTGGGACACTATCTTTATCGCCGTCGAGTTGGTTCGTAGGAGTAGTCCAGCTGGTGTTGAATTGTAGATTTTCAAAATCTGCATCGATTTATGTCGCTGTCGCCGTCTGATACAGAAGATGGGGAAATTCTGTGAAGAATTTCGAAGTTTTCGCCAGTTGCCCAGTCGCTAGGTGTCTCACTTAGGAGTTTTGGGCTAGCGAGGTGTATTCCCTTTTTCTTTTTTTTAAACCTGGAGTACTCTGCCTAAAAATAAAGTATTTATTGCCGACCATTGAGTTGATCACTTCAATAGTGCGGAACCATACGAGGGTAACACATATTTACGAATAAAATCAACAAAAGTTTAAAGCACAATTCAAGTTTGTGGACAGATATTAGTCTTATAATTAAACACGTAAATTTATATATTTGGTATTTGTTAATATATCAATTCCATTTCCACAATCTTTTGTTCAATCAAACTTTCAAGTGTTCCCCAAAATATCGTCGTTTTGGAAAGAAACATAACATTTATCGTTGTCGAAAATTCGCCCAAGATGTGATCACGTAAAATTCTCGGAAAGTAGCCCAAAAGTTTGAAATTCGTACGTAAAAGTATTAGTATGTTCACAACAACCATTTTCGCCGTTTGCGTGCCGTAAAACAACAATTTACATTATAACGCACAAGTAGTCTGTTCGCCAATTTAGTTGACCTGCGCACCTTAAGCTCAGGTTGCTCTACTTCTAGAGTTGTGTCCGCCTGAGGAGCTTCAACTGCTGCTTGTGGTTAATTTACTACTTCTAAGTCAGTGGGGGCTGCAGTACCAGAATCTGTGTTTTTTTTTTCTATAAGTTTGTAATTTACACTAAATGATGGTTTATCATTATGAATGTAATGACGGCTTGTCTCCGATCACCTTTGCTTACCTTACTACTCACCTTACTTTTTTTTTTTTTTTTAAATGTTTTATATAACGGCCCAGTGCCCATATTGGTTATACTCATATAATATTTCATTAAACTAGGCGCAAACTACCGCTTATTTATCATTATAAATATCATCCCGCTTCAATATCAACTTGGCTATTTCTATACCGCCGCAGGCTATTTATATCGCGCCGCAAAACGTGCTTTAATTATCATCGATCTTCTCACTTTTGGAGGAATAAAATAACCGGTCAACCTTTATATACATAAACACATCTCCATTTTTTATACCGGTGAGCATCATCATTTATATAGCGCTTTATCGGAATATCATTTATATAGCGGTTCATATGCACGTGCATTTTATATAGCGGCGAATTTCAACTTTAAAATGTAGGCGGTTAATCATCAGTTCTATTCTAAGAGCTCTATTCATAAAAGTGAGGTTGCTTTACTACAGTTGCCTAATGAAACCTTTTACCTGGTGAGATGAATGGTGAATGGGTGAATTGATAAGTGAATGAATTTGATGTACCTGATGATTACCTCCTGTAGCTAATTAGCTGGCCACTGTAGTGCGCCCTCACTTATCCTTACCTTACGTTAATATAAGTATTTATAGTATATAGGCCGGTACCGTTGTCGGCCAGGATCGCCGTATTTAAGTAGTATATAAATTAATTGGTGGTGATTTCATGGTTATCTTATCCACTTCTAGTTATACCTTTGGTGACCGGATTGGTGCGTGTGACTTTGAGTAAACACATCTTCTGTAACTCCTCGTGGTGCACAAAACCATTCCAACCTATGTATGTCCCCCTTACGGGTTCCACAAGCCCGACGGTACATAGTTAGATGAAAGACAGAGAAGCCTTGATTGCCAGATCAAGGACTGCATCAGTAGCAGCGAAATACGGATATACCTTCTCCCTTACAGTCAGCGAGCTGACAACTATCTGACTGTGTCTTTTAGGCCTTGCCACACCACTTTCGCTATTGCATTCGCTCGCCCTTATTTACTGACACATTCGTACACAAGGTCTCTCTTATTGAGTCTATACTCACGATCGCCATTACTTACCAGTTCAACTTGTGCTACACAGGTACTGTTGACATGTGAATCTTGGGTGCCCTATTTAGTTCAGTGACCTGGTTATGTGTCACGTACGTTTCCGTACGTGACTACATTATATAAAATGTTTGAGGTCTTTAAGATTATATTTTTACTTAAATGCACCAGCCTGCGAATGTTCATTGAGATATTGAATGCAGCCTGACCCGGGTGACGTTAGTAAAGTTGTGTTTAAATGATCCGGTCCGGAGACAAACTTGTTATATTATTATGACTCGGTTCTCGGACTGCGATATATATTAAAATTTCTCATTGCTGTCCCTGGTGAGGTACAAATTACTGTCATTATCGGACAGCGCTCCCTATAATTGGCACTCGGAAGGATCAGTTCTCCAGCTGATATAATTAGCCTGTCCGACTTTATTTTAGAATGTGCCGCTGATTCCAGGAAAGTACCTGACAACTTTAGGGGGACTGGTCGTATTCGCCACGTCATTACGTGTTCGCCACTAAAATATGGAACTTTATTCGCCAAACTCCATGATTCATGAGAAACAATAATAATAATATCGGAGCAGACCGGTGTAATCATGCTAAGAGCGCTTAAAGTTAATTATAGTTATAATACCGTACTTAATCTTGATACACACAAATACACTTCTTTCATTGCGTACATTTTACAGTTCCACTCATTCTGATCTGTTTACTCTTCACCGTTAACTCACAATTATCAATTTAATTTGGGCATAGACAGAAATTTTGGCAATCTACCCGTCAATATTTGTGCAAATGCCTTGGAGTTAATAATAATATGGCTGGTACGTTAACTCCGTTCATATTGTGCCCGTTACATTGGTCTTAAATGCAAGTTTTATAAAAATCAAAAACTATCAGAGTTTAGTTAATTGAAACTTTTAGTAATTCAACGGTCGCTTTTGCTAAAATGACCTTATGAATTTGGTCAAGGAGGGTGTATATTAGTCGACAAATTTTGTTAAATTTTTAGTAGTCCTCGTTTACTAGTGTACTGTAATGTTATACAAATTGTACTGTGGAAAATGGAATTGACGTGTTACCCAAAAGTGCTGCAAGAAATCTGCTTGGATCAATGAGGGGGGGTTCGTAGAATATAACTCGTAAAAATATATAGTCCGCGTTTTAAGCTGTAGGTAGTGGTCTCGCCAAGTGAGAGCTACTGTGTAAACTACGCAAACTAAGGCCATGCAGAATTAATGACTACATGGTCATCAAGTAGGTGCTCGCCTTCATCTTTGTCAAGGAATTAAAGAAAATTAAAGGAATATTTTAACCTGTTTAACAAAGTACAGAGATTTAAGGCCATGCAGACTTACCACTGCATGGTCGTCAAAATCTTTCGGCCAGTTCTGCATACAGCCGCCTTTTTCATTAAACTAACGGCGATCTATATAATTTAGTAGTGTTATTGGTGTTTTATGGTAAAATGTAAGAATGTCCGCAGTTGTTTAACCACGGACACATCACGCCTATTTAAGTCTAGTTGCAAATAATGGCCGTAAAATATTCGGATAAATAATGTAAAAATTCCGCGTTAATCAGTAGGCTGGCATTGGACACAGTGCTTTGTCTCTTTGATTGAGACGGGTTCGACGTGATGAATATTGATTTATGAGTAAAATAAAAATAGTGGGGTGAACTGAGCGTGAGTGAATTAATAAGTTTGGCTTAAGCTGGTCCACTCGGTAACCGTGGTTTGTATTGGTGCCGTTAATTTGAATATGAGCCGTATTCGATCTCAGAATTTTTTGTGTGGTTACTTTAAAATGCTGGCATTCTGGGGCGTTACAAAAGGTTTGCCTGTGGCCTCTCTTTTGCACATACGACAAAATGTGCCTTCCCAGCAGTAACCACGTAGCCTGGCCTTTGGTTACCATAGTGTATCAACTCTCGCTTCATTACAAATATAATTATTATCAGGAATTATAGTCGTCAAAAAAACTGAATAATTGGAAATTCAATCACATTGGCCTTCGCCCTGTATTAAAATGTTGCTTTCTTTCTAGAAAGTTCGATTTCGCCATATATGGGCGTGGAACATTTTATAAACTTATAAAATCAGCCTCGATGCTACTACTGCCTACATAACTTAAAATATTAAATCAACATACTTGCAACGATGAGTTGTGATGTGGATAATATATTGACGCAATTACTGACCAGCACGGTAACACACAACTTATACAATACAGTTACTCCTCAGAGCTCTATTTCTTAGTTACTGATTTAGTAACGCCATGTATGGCCCGTTATATTTCATTATGTTCTATCACATTTCGCCAAAAATTTTCCGCCAAAAGTAGCACATTTAGCTTATAATTCTTTACTAGTGCAAACTGAGCGCTTTTATGGAACGACAACTCTTACCTTGGTGGCCTGCAATGCCTCTTCTCGGGAGTTATCCTCTTCTTATCCACTTGGTCGCCGTAATGTGGAGTGCAGATCTTTTGAGTTTGTCTTGTCTTGCTTCTGAGGTATTCTCTCTGTCCTTCTCGGAGTTCGTCAGAGAGATAGCCGTCTGTAGGATTCGTCTTCCTTGATTGTCTCAACTCGTTACTGTGTGGGAAAGTTCTTTTAGAATCAGAGTCTCGTTTCAGTCTCCAATTTGTAGGAACCTCCCGTAGGAGTAACTACTAACTAGTCACTAGGTCTACGCAATTTATAGGGCTCCATCCTATAAGAACCAGTATAGGATCTAACTACGCCTGGTATATAGTACTGACTACAAGTCTTAATAACTTGTGGTCTAACTACTAGTAGCTAGAGCGCTCTAATGATGACTAGCTTGAGGGTCTTCGGGATCGATAGTCTCCACCAGTATGGTGTTACTCTAATTCGCCAAGAACTTGTATCCTCCTGAAACTGTACGAGTTAAGCTTGTGATTAAATACGGCTTCCTGAGTCAAGGACTCAAATTTACTGGTGGCACTGCACACTTTTAGTAATTGTAACGACTCAACTTTCAATCATAGTCTCAGAGACTTGCAATATAGGTTTTAGCAGTTGTAGTGTAAGCGATTAATGACAGTATATGAAAAGACCAGCAGAACATCTGGTCATCAAGGTAAGTAGTATCAAGTATCATAGTATAGTACAATAAAATATAGTATCGACCGAGCTAACCGACCTTAGGATGAGTAGGAGGGGTGGACAGTTGAAGAGTTGGTTCTCTAATCTGCATATCGCCACCGCAGCTTAAAGAGTCGACTTTCCTCAACAAGTCCGGAGATGAGTCTGATCGCTGGCTGGAGATGAGTCTGATCATCTTCAGTCGCACGGAGGCAGAATCAGGGCGTCATCTTAGGGATGAGGGCAGGAACAGAGTAGAAGTGAAGAGATCCAGAGGGTCAGTGCCGGAACGATCGGAGGCCGAGTGACCAACTCGAAGTTGGAATAATGGAACTGAGTAGAAGTGGGGAGAAGTCCAGGTCGTCATCTCGGATAGTCTCCCAGGTTCTGTTAATTTACCGTTTAAACTCAGAGGTCCGATAATTAATTGGTCGTATCAGCTCGGTTTATCTCGTCCTGTCCCGGTGCACTGAAATATGAGATTTCGCCGTCAGGACACCGGTTCGGGGGCTCCGTGATTGGTTGCTATTCGTACGGTTGCCACGGTGATTGGCGCGCTCCACAGTTTGATGGAAGCCTTATCACTGCAACTCTTAATGAGCTTTCATTCGCTCCTAGAGATGTCCCGTCCGGTCCATCACGGTATGAACTAGGTATGAAGTGTAAGTGTCAACTCCCAGTGCTCAGTTATTAACTGAGCGACAAAAAGAATAGGGGGCCGAGGTTCTTACAAAAAGTTACAAAAAACATACACAAAAACATACACAGGCCACAGTGTATTGTACGCATTTAATTTACAGTAATCAAAATCAAATCAGTATGTAATATTTGTATAAGATAGTCTTACTCTACCATTAATTGTAAAATAAATATCAATTTATTGATCCAATATTGTGGTGGATGTGAGTTTACAAAGTATTGTCACGCTTGGGTTAGCAGCAATACACCCAATGTTAGTTTAGTCTTTACGCTCCACGCATTAATATGACGTCTTCTACATTTTTGTATCCTGCCCTGATTGTTCCAATCAAGTAAGAATCTTAAGTATGTACTCAAGTTATAATAATCAGCTATAAATATTGCTCTCCTTGTCGCTAGTGTGTTGCCTGACCCCATCAGAAGAATCTCCCTTTAATATATCAGGCAAGGATTTTGTCCGTTTTTTAGGTCGCAAACGTCCACTAATCGTTTGAGTGTCATCTGATGTTGTTGGGAAGCCGTCTTCCAAACCTTGTTTCGTATCTGAGGGAATCGTTGATAGCCGCCTCTTCTCGTGGGGTTGTATCACTTTTATGTTATCTGAAGGTTCTCTAAGGGTTATAATATGTTAAGGCTTCCAGGAAATTAAAGGCAGGTTTTGACGGTGGCAATTCAGAGTACTGACCATGATTTGAGCTATATTATATGATCACGAGTCACGACCCAAAAAATCGACTCTTTAATACCATTCCTATTTCCTATTCATTTACACTTGAAAGTTGAAGACTATATAAATGCCTTAAATAGATTCCTGAAAAACTTACCCAATAATCCTAAAGAAAATCGACGATTTCCGCCTCTCACAGACTTCCTTCTACGCCTTTCTAATTCTGAGTTATCTGAGTCTCGTCTGCTCCGGGTTTTCATAAACTTGGAGCGATTGACATTTTGGGATACTGTCTTGGGATCTGAGTATCTCTCCGAAGATGACACCATGTTAATAAAAATCTGATCAAGTGATTTCGCATCATCAATGGGGGTGTCTAAGGCCAGAAATCGTGCTGGCAGAAATTTGTGGTGATTCTCATGAACGATTCTTGAGCTTCTATCCAAGTCATGCAGAGGGTGATCGAAGGTATCAGGTCTTCTGGCCATTTGTCCATTTTCTTCTATTCCTTGTTCAGCTAATGCTACTAGATTTTGAACTACTGTCATTTCTTGAGTTTTCTGGAGATATGAAATTGATGATGTATTCAGCTCAACAGGAATCAGTAGGAGATAATTGTGATGACCGAATTTGTGTTTATCGATGGTTGATAAATAATGAGTAAATAATAACTAATGACTAACATGAAAGTAACCAGTAAGGTATAAGCAAATAGTAATTCAATAACAATAATATTACCGCTCTGAGAATGATCTTGTATCTGTATCTCCAAGTAAAATAACACATAACAATAGAAGCCCCAATAATAGCACACACCACTGCAGCAGCTATCTCGAATCCTCTCGGAGTACGTATGTAATGATCATCATCAAGATCATCATCATCATGATGATCGTCAGCAATGTGTTGTGTCATGTTTGTACGCAGGTCATCGTTCGATATAGAACTAGGATGATCTGAAAAAAGACGCTGTTTGGTTGTTTTCGTCATTTTTTAAAACTCAAACATGAAAAGCATTAATACATGTTTTGCTGTTCTTAGGCCCAAGTGCAATCTAGATTAGTTTGGATATAGTGCATATCATACATTATACATGATTAATGATTATACATAATACATTAAGTGCAGATCAAACATTCCTCTCGAAGTGTCACTTGTGGTTTATTTTGAAGCTGATAACAGTCCCACTATCCGTATAACTATCAAAGACAGGATGCGGTTTCTCAGCACACCTTCAAGTGACATTAAACACAGTACACACCTTCAATTAGTGTCATTAAACTAAATGGTTACTGATCCTGCCTAGGATATTGGTAGATGATGTCTTAAAGTCAAGTCATGTACTAAACGTGGAGCAGGTAAAACTATCAGTTTTTTATCAGTAGCTTACAAGTTTGTCTGCTTCAAGATGACACGAGATTGACACTTTGGGAAAATATGAGGTTTGTCGTTTTACTATACCCGAACAAGGTAGTTAAATATGCCAAACTTCCGATTATAATACAATTTCTCCCATAACATTGGTTGCGTGGAAAACGAGCGAAATGATTGTATTTCTAAGGTGCGAGCAATTGTAGAACAGAGTGAAAATGAAGTTAAATGGAAAAATCTCGAAGTGATAGATTCGGGCAAAAAAAAGTAAGGGAAAAAGTTACTCCACCAAAAATAGTAATAATGGTATTAATATGCATATGTTATAATATTATTATAATGTAATATGCAGTTGCACTGAGAAAATGGTTCATGAAATGAATAGGTAGCAGTACTGAGTATATGTCAACCCCTACAAAAGGCAATTATCAACTTGTGACTCGATGAGGTCCGAGGATACTAATCAGTGATCGGTCTAGTGCTACCAATCATCAGTTATATATATTTTTTCGTATGCAATTTTGATCGGGTATGGTTCGCTTACCATTGAGATCTCTAACGGTTGATATATCAGAAATTATTTGAAATCTTTAAAAATTTAAAGATACTCACGTCTCGTGCATGTTGTTGAGAGTTTTCATCAGCAGAAACTGCAGGTACTAAAAAATTAAGGAACATTCGAGATCAAAGGACAACACAGATCGATAAAAATACGTGACCTCCGAATATTTCTTTTTACAATTAAATAATCATACTTAATCTGGTGAAATTTTCACACAAATAATCGTAGTGATACATACTTACATAGAGGAAACAATACCCAAAGGAACAACTCGGAAGTTAAATCCAAATTTGTTAATTCATTTATTTGGTTACGGAATTCGGAAATTTTTATCAGAAACATGCAACAGTGCGAATCATAAATAATGTAATAATGCTCATAATTAGCTTAAAACAAATTGTAATGAGTTGTGTGTTAGAAACAGTTTCAAAACAAGAAACGTTTCAAGCTGGTATAATTTTTCAGCGATAACTAGAAAATAGCTGAATACTCAGCAGAAGAATACGATCTTCACAGTCCACGCGCATAATGCGCCGTATATTTCTAATTAAGTAATAAAGTTTACTTCCCGCGAAACTTTCACACTCAGAAAAACCACAAAATCTAAAATAAACTGCCGAGAAGTGACGACAGTCTCTCTATTTCCCATTTGTTTATCAATTTTTAGTGATTAATGATGAGCTGTACAATATTAATTTTAAAATCTTAAAATTCAGTGATCAGGCGTTATATTGCTTACGAATGTTGAAACATGCGTGTCAAATGTCAATGTATTTATAATTCTCTAATTCTTGCTGCAACAAGCCAGTATGACTGGCTCAAGGCAGCACTGGTAGCACTGGTAGCACTGGTAGCACTGGTAGCACTGGCAGCACCATGTTAGCACTGGTAGCACTAACTCGAGGTAACACTGGCAGCACCATGGTAGCACTGGTAGCACTAACTCGAGGTAGCACTGGTAGCACTGGGGTGGGCGAAAATTGACCCCCCGACAATTGACCCCCTAATTACATAGGGGGTCAATTGTCGGGGGGTCAATTGTCGCGGTACCCAGCACTTGTGGCACTGTCTCGAGCTGCAGTAGCTCTATAGTTCTACGTACTTTTAATTTTGGAGGATGTGCCTAAAAATGTGATCCCTGATCAAATGTAATAAAAGAATGTTCCAATTTCAGGTAGCAGCGTTTAGAAAGTCGCTGTGGGTGGAACACATGGGTGAAATGTGCGATGAATTCAACGATCCTGGAAGTCTTGACTGCATGAGAAAGGTATGTGTAAATCAATCTATTATGTATGTGTAAATATATTATATATGTGTAAATTGAAAGCAGTTAGCAGGCAAATTTGTTTCATTAAAATTTATTGTACGTAACAAAAGAATAACACAAGAAATTGTTGACATTCTTGACCTGCATATTGTTGTTGAGAAAAAATAAAAGTTGAAGGAGCAGTATTAGAAGGAGTATTATTTTGATGATCTCTGTGAAATTTATTGATCAAATTCCTATTAATTTCAGGTTAACGAAATTGCCCGAAGTAACTGGGAGAAGTTCGTTGCTGATGATTTTGAAGAGCCAATGCAAGGACATCTCCTGCCATACCCTATAGATGTGGCTCAGGATGGAACTGTAAGTACAGTTATAACCTTAATTTAAATTCCATCCGTAATGATTTAAAGTAAAATATAAGACGTATTTATTGTTCAAATAAAAACGACGTACAGTATTTATCCGGACGATTAAACCCAACTCTGAGCTGAGAACTATTTTCTTGGCACTGAAGTGGAATCGTGGATCATACGATATCGTTGATTTCATGGTTTAGAGCTGTCTAAATTATTTATAATTTAAATAGCTCTAAACCATGAAATCAACAATATACTAGTTTAAGTTATATGATCGTTTATAAACGCTCATTAAATAGTTTTATTTTTAACACCGTAAGTTATAGCCACTAGTCAACTAAATAGCTTCTTTAGATAGAAATATATAACTGACGCTCTTTAGGGGTTATCATTTTGATTTTTGACCATGTTAGCAACAGCGCAAGCTAAATGACTAGATATTTCAGACACTGGTTCATATTAAAGTATTGAGAACTGAACGAGAAGGCTTGGAAAAATAGCGAACAATAAAGTTGTTGTATTATAATCATAATAGCTAGGAGCGCGTAGATTTACAAGATTTACAATAAAATCTTTATTACATGAGTGTAAATATGTCAAATGTATATTTCAGGTCAGTTCTTTAGAAGGTTTTGAAAACTTCCCTGATACAGACGCACCGGTTTTAGGAACCAAGTCAAATATTCTGCTTGAAAAACTCACAACCTAGAAACTGAAAACATCAGTTTTCTGCTATGAACAACGAACTTTGCCATGAACGTACGATAACTACGAAGATGTTGTGTTTTGAGAAGTTGGGACTATTAGTATTATTACTGAATGACAAATGAATAGAATTTTAACATCTTTTAGTCTGAGTCATAATATCTTCTAGTCTTGTTTCAGAGACACTTGATTAGTGATTAGGATTGATTTTTTAAAAAGCTATTTTTATTCTTATAGGCACCATCCCGCGTGGAAATTTTCTTTTCTTTTTGTGGTTAATACTTTAATATGATCGACTGTTATTTTCTTTTTTGTCAGATTGCGAGCTATTTTACGGTACATCTATTGGCAATTCGGTAATCTGTCGATAGCACGGTTAACGTGCCTTATCCGTGCGTTAAGTATCCGTTAACCGTGCGTTAACCGTGCGTTAAGTGTGCGTTAACCGTGCGTTAACTGTGCGTTAAGTGTGCGTTAACCGTGCGTTAACCGTGCGTTAAGTGACCTACATCGACAGATTACCGAATTGCCCATACATTTAAGGCCATTATAAAACTTGAAATTTGAGTGTAGAAAATTAGCTTGATTTTGTCATATTGCAGATTTGTTCAAGTTTCCGATATTTTGAGATTGGATTAGGTGTTTTATAAAAGAATCCGTATTAATTTTCAATGAAGTACTAGCGCCGTTTATTTAGAGTTTTAGAGACGCTATATATACTAGTACTTCTTCGATTTCTTGGTATATCAGCTCAAAAATAAACTTCTCATGGAGGTTTACAGGTCCTAATATCGGAGAATAATTTTATAAATTCTAGCAACCAGCTCCTAAACGTCTCAAAGATATCGTTTAGTGCTACTAAATTTATTAGCACATGCTAGGCGCGTCTCTGGATGCTGTGAGGTTTTGCAAACATTTAGCCCTACTAACTGAAGACAATATTCTCGTCTATATCGGAGAGACAATGGTTTTCCGGTCCCCTTAATGTCTGCATACCATCTTGATACGAAGTGACCGAAACTTTAATTTTAGATTAGACTTAGAGTCGAACCGTTTTATCCGCTCCTATTCTGACCTACATGCTGGTATGGAGTGTCTCCTTAGGGAGAATCAGTGCGGATTTAGACAGAACCGCTCATGTATTGATCAGATTTATTCTCTCCGAACTATTTATATTCATAACTTTCTTGAGTTTAACATTCCTCTTTACATTAATTTTGTGGATTTCAAGGCAGCGTTCGATTCTATCAGAAGGGACTTTATTTGGTGCAGTATGAGACACTATGGGCTGCCTGAAAAATATGTCAGAATATTTCAGTCATTTTTTGGGGGTACCATGAGTGCCGTGATGGTTAATGGGGAGCTGACAGACTGGTTTGATGTTAACTCAGGCACAGGTCAGGGTGACATTCAAGCACCGCCTGTCTTTAATTTCTGCCTAAACTTTTCTTCATTTCTGGCTGAGACCAACAAGATCATCAGTCAAGGCGCAGTGCTGCAGAAAGAGATGAAGACGGTCGAGGAAAAGGTCATTCTGGACACCGATTATGCTGATGACAATCATGACATGGCTATTATGGACAACTCAGGGCCGGGAAGGCCTACAGGAATCAACTGATCTATTAGTTCATTACAGCTCCTACGCTGGGCTCAGAATAAATGCAAAGAAGACCCAATGCATGGCTGTAAGCAAGTGCACCTCCCAGCGACCTTTCATCAAGGATGATTGTATTGAGCTGTCGGTTGAGGGTGAACCCGTCGAGCAGGTTAGCAACTTTGTCTACCTGGGTGCAACTATCAGTGGGGATGGGACAATCAACAGAGACCTGGATGTCCGTATCCAGAAGGCTAATGGCGCCTTTTATCAGCTCTGGAACATTTGGATTAGCAGAACTATAAAGACTCCAACCAAGATCAGGATCTATAGGGCTGCTGTCCTCACCATCTTGTTGTATGGAGCTGAAGTCTGGAACACCACCAAAAAGCAGATGAAACGCTTCGAGGTTTTCCATCAAACCTCCTTGAGAAGGATCCTTAGGATTAAATGGTTCTTTCATGTGACCAACGACGAAGTTCTTAGGAGGGCTGGCATCAAGTCAGTTGAGACTTTCATCAGTGCTGCCAGGCTACGTTGGTATGGACATGTAGTTAGAATGCCAGACTCTAGACTACCGAGGTTTCTGTTGAACTGGAAGCCAAATTATGGAAAGAGGTCAAGGGGCAGACCCCGTAAGAACTGGAAGTCCTGCGTACTCGAAGATGCTGCTTAGTTTACAGGTGTTGAAAACATCGACAACGACACAACAGAAGCTTTGGCTACCAACCGAGTACAGTGGAGACATATGTTACGCCGCCAACGCGATGTGTGTGATGCAGGCCACTCCAACGACTAGGAGGAGACCTTACCATGTAACATGTATGTATTCTGACCTAACTTACTTGATAATATCAGGGCGGGTTAAATTAGGACTGTTTGAAATATTGACCGTTAAAACACATCGGCTAATAGTAATACTAATAGTAATACAGACAATTCCTAGTTCTAATATAGTCATAGAGGCAGAGCTAACTCTTTAAAATCTTGACGGTTAATATTATTATTAATATTATGATCGTTAACAAGAAATGCGGCCGCTTTTCTTTCGTGGATGGCCGCTCAATTTCCCGATCCGTGATGGCGTATTTTATCATATTCCATACCAGTACCACTTGCAGGGACCCCAGTATTTACTTTTTATAAGCATGCAGATATGGCGGAGTGACAGACCGAGCGCCGCCCAGTTAATATATAATTCCATATTGAATTTGAAAATCGTGTATATTTCTATGTAACCATATGTTTATTGTTTATGCAACCTGACACACTGACACAGATCTGCGCAAAATAGTAATAATATATAAAATTTGAAATTCTCAGAACAACAGTGATTTCTCTCCGTGGAGACAGAGGTGCGAGAAAAAACATTTTTGATATAAACAGTCTAGATCTTAACTTGGAGCCACAAGGCCAAGGGTAATTTTTAATTGTTAAGGGAATTTTTTGAATTCTTAAAGGGTTGATTTTATATAGGGTCATTGCTATATTATTATGTGTATATTGTTTGAATAATTTTATTTAAAAAATAGTAATAATAACTCCAAACTCAAAATAATAATAATATGCTATCAATTAGTCCCTGGCGGGATGCGTGCATGGTGAAATTAACAATGTACTTGAACAGTTCAGTACCGCGCGCCAACAATTGTTTAATTCAGATTATCGCGCAAAATAACTTTGCGCAGGCAGAAACGTGGGCGATAACTGGGGGCGAGGGCACGTACACAGTGGCGTAACGAAGGGAAGGGCCCCGCTGACCCGGCCCCGCTGTGCAGGGGGGCGCCGTCTTAGGGGGGCGCCAAATCGTCGTTTGAATGTGGGACAATTTCGAAAACTTGACTAAAGTACTAGCAAAACTGCGCGTTTTGCTCTAGATACACACTTTTTTAGAGATTTTACCGGCGTATCCTCTAAAATCACCTAATTTGTTCAATTTTAGGGAGGGGTACCAAAAGGGGAGGGGGCGCCAACAGGGGGGCGCCTTTGCGGCAGGGGGGCGCCAACAGGCAACGTTACGCCACTGCACGTACGTACGCACGCACGGTCGCAAGCTACCATATACAAAAAAAACTCGTTCGCTAACCCTTGTCCTTAACTCTTTTGTGCCTTCGGCACTTTGAGTCATTTCATATTGAGATGTTTTTTATAAACACCCAGTTTGTCGTGATCAGGGGGTAATAACAAGACAATAATTGTATTTTACTGTAGATATATCACAAATAAAGAAGATGAAACAGTTTTATTCTAAAAATATATTTGAAAGCCTTTATTTTGGTGGTAATTTTGGCAAGTCCTTGGTCCGCTTAGGCAGATGCAATCACATAGTTGTTTAAAAATGTATCTTCGAAATTAGTGTTTTACAACGGTTCACAATTTATACTTATAGTATCAGGCTGAAGTATCCTGTATAAATGTGTCCAGTGGAGTAATTTGGTATTTTAAAAACTATTATGACAGTGTGGTAAAATTTTATTCCCACCGAAGTTGAAGGGACAAAATGATTTCGCGATTATTTTGGCCAAAATTCGCGATACCGCGATTTTTAACAAACTATACATTAAACTACGCATCAAATTTGTCGCAAATAATGAATTATAGGAAAAATCGCGATTCCGTACATGCCGCGATTTAATTTCCTTTTGTCCCTCATGGTTTAGAATGTTCGAGTAGAAAACTCACAACTTTGTAGCGCGATGCACTACTGGGTCGCGCCGCGCATCAAATAATTCTTCTCGCAACCACTTCGGTAGATCGGCGAGATGCACCACTGTGCCTCACCGAGCTGCGAAGGATTGACATCGTGAATCAACTCACAACTCAGCTTGCATGCTGCGATTACAAACTTGCAGTTGACCATAACCTCAAAGAAACTATAGGTAGCATTGCCATTAACAATAACTGAATGTCTAGCTGGAAGTACACAATAGATCATATAAACGGCTCTTACTAATTCGCTCGCCCAAAAATTATCACGTGACTTTGGTTTTTATGGTTTTGCAGCCGAACAAAACGGTTTTACATAAACCCTCAATCAATCCCAACTCTAACCCTAACCATAAACCCAAAGCTATCCATAACCCTAACCACAACCCTAACCCTAACCCGAGCCCTAAAGAATCAATTTCGTGTCTAACTAGCCTGTCACGTGACCAAAACAGTTTTTTGCCCATAATTTTCCAGGGAAGCATTTTTACCCTACGTCTTGGGGGTGATTCGGAATCAGCGTCCAAAAATTTAAAATACACCAAACCATATTACTTTTGAGCCTTCAGGACCCTTTCACAAGGATTTTCGTAAAATTTGGGCGTGCGATTTAGTGGGAGTGCATTATATAAACACCTGTTATATTATAAAGAATCACGACGATAATTAGGCATGCGCTGAGCGCTCATAGGTTCTTATGGACTAATGTTTACTGATATCGCTTTTATCGCTCGTACATCGATCCACAAACTTCTATTACATTACCAACATTCGCCTCAGCACACAATCAGTTGGTTGTGCAGCAATAATTTATTTATTTAAAAATCGTTTATACACAGTAGTGTCTTTAACGCAAAAACTCTCTTCGGGCCAGTTTGTCTCACGACTGCCCTATAGTTACATTGTTGACCATATTTTTAACATATCTGATTGTTTTCTGTAAGACTCTGGAAGTACACAAAATGTCAGTTCGCTTCTATCTAGACTCTAGATTCTTCAGTTCTCGTCGAGAGCTCCGGAGATATATAAATATTAGTTGTGAATAATTTCTCGAACATTTCTCTAAGATGACGCTGCATGGCAGTGCTTCTCAGAAAAAGAGTAAGAGCGGTAACAGTAGAGCAGAGTAGAGGTGAAGTAGAGCTGGAGATGTAGATCATACCCAACTCTGTCCAGGACAGTTTCTGTATCTTGTCTTCTCTTCCAAGGTGTGTCCTGTAGATAATCAGCCACACAGCCACTGACAGGATGGATGTCAGTACATATATTGTTGTCACAATCAGGATGGTGACAGCTGCTTTACGGTTGTGACTTGGTTTTTTCCTTTTCTCTGTCTTTTGTTCTTTTGAAGACACTTTGCTTAGTTGTGTTGACTTCTTGCCAGATCCAGGTTGGTTGGATGTAATCCCAG